ATTACTCCTGGTGGTGCTCGGGGGACTGTATGGGATGCTGGGAATCAAACCCGGGTTGGTCGCATGCAAGGCAAATGCCCTACCCGCTGTGCTATCGCTCTAGCCCCTAGATCTGTATTTTTATAATTCCTTTTGCCAGTTTGTTGTAACAAGCAATATGAAGTAAATTTGTTTGTGCCTGCTAAGGGGGCAGGTTTGGGGAGGTGGGGGGAAACTGGGGGCATTGGTAGAGGGAGGGTCTACCCCACTGGTACAGGGAGGGTCTAGGGAGGGTTAGTGGTGGCGGGATTAGTGTTAGAATATTGAATGCCTGAAACAACTGTATGGTGTTATAATAAAATATTATTAAACAAACAAAAATAAAGCAATGGGCTGAAGAGATAGTATAGCAGGTAGGGCTTTTGCCTTGCACATGGCTGACTCAGGTTTAATTCCCATATGTTCTCCCAGGTTCGCCAGGATTCATTCCTGATCACAGAGCCAGGAGTAAACCCTAAACATAACTGGGTGTGACCCAAAACCAAAAGATCACACACTAGGGACTGGAGCGATAGCACAGTGAGTAGGACATTTGCCTTGCATATGGCCGACCCAGGTTCAATCCCTGGCATCCCATATGGTCCCCCGAGCACCGCCAGGAGTAATTCCTCAGTGCAGAGCCAGGAGTAACCCCTGAGCATCACCAGTGTGACCCAAAAAAAAAAAAAAAAGATCACACACAAAAATGGGTAGATGGGCCTCCCAAATTATTGAATGATTTCAATAATGCCCAAATTGAAGAAAGAAAGATAGCAGGAGGAAGAAAACCATGGTCTGGGCTGGAGCAATAGCACAGAGGGTAGGGCGTTTGCCTTGTACTCGGTCAACCCGGGTTCAATTCCCAGCATCACATATGGTCCCCTGAGCACCACCAGGGGTAATTCCTGAGTGCAGAGCCAGGAGTAACCCCTGTGCATCACCGGGCATGACCCAAAAAGCAAAAAAAAAAAAAAAAGAAAAAAGAAAAGAAAAACATGGTCTGATTCCATTTATGAAAACAGAGGCAAAATGACCTTTAGTAAAATGTTATTAAATAAAAAGGCCCTCTTGCACACAAAGAAGGAAACTTGCCTTGCATGTGGCTAACTCGGGTTTGATCCCTGGCAGCACATAGGGTTCCCCAAAACCCATCAAGAACCCCACCAAAAACAAATAAAAATTTTGAGTTTTTAGGCCATACCTGGTGGTGTTCAGGGCTTACTCCTTGTTCTTTCAAGAATCACTCCTGGCACCTTCACCTGCTGTACTGTTTTTCTAGACCCTAACATATCTTTTCCAAAATAACAAAGTCTTGGGTGAGCTAAGACACTCAGCACTAGAGCATTTGCTTTGCATGTATGAGGCCTTGAGTTTGATCCCCAGCATCAAGAGAAAAAGCACCATAAAACACAAAACCTTAGGTACAAATAAAACAAAACAAAATGTCTTAAGGAATAAATTTAAGAAGTATGTATATATAGCCCAGGACAAAATTATGCCTATATCAAGGATGCAAAGCACAATTTTACAAAACCCTAAAATTTCCCCAAATTAGTCACTTATTCATAAGACCAATCAAGCCCAATGGGTTATTTTCTCCCTTTTTTATGGAATCAATGACAAATTCCATCCTTCTCCTCCCAACCAGATTTAGAGCAGAGCCAGATTCCTTTCACACCCGAGTCTAGGCATCTGCTCGCCAAGACAATCTGTTCTGCTCCCCACCCCCTTCTTCGACATGAATCACCCCGCAAGCAACTGGTAAACAGACTGCTGATGTCAGCATAACACAGGCATGTTGGTTACTATGCAATTTTCTCTAAGTTCAGCTTTGAAGCAATCAGGAGCACTATTTCTCACTATGAGAGAGGAAGCCTGGGCCAGGGTTATAGTATAACGGACAGAACCCTTGCTTTGCATGTACCACCCCACAGAGTCCCCAGAGTCCACCAAGAGTGATCCCTGAGCACAGAGCCAGGAGTATGTCCTAAGCCTTTCTGGGTGTAGCCCAAAACCAAAAAATAAGATAAAATATTTCAAAGAAGGGCCAGAGAAATAGTACACCGGGTAGGGTGCTTGTTTTGCACTCAGCCAACCTGGGTTTGTTTCCCTGAATCCCCTATGGTCCCTGGAGCACCACCAGGAGTGAATCCTGAGTGCAGAGTCAGAAGTAGCCCCTAAACATTGCCAGATGTGGCCCAAACACCCCACCACCACCAAATTTCAAAGAACAGACTAAAGCCAAAGACACCCATGGATATTGAACTGTGCCAATATTTCTATTTGAAGTATTCCTTGTTTTGTTTCAGCGGAGGGTAGGGAAACCACACTTGGCATTGCTCAGGACTTACTCCTGTCTCTGCACTCAGAAATCTCTCCTGACAGATTTGGGGCACCGCATGGGATGCCAGGGATTGAACCCAGGTCTGCCGCATGCTAGGCAAGTGCCCTATCCACTGTATTATCACTCTGGCCAATAAGTAGTATATTACTAGCTTTACAATGATTGATTATGCACCTTTTGTGCCATTTGTCCCCAAGTCTATTTTTTTCCTGTCAGGCTTTGCTATTTTGGGTGCACTGTTTTTGCAGAACTCCAGATTTTTCAGGAACATATGTAACAGGTTACAGTGCAAATGTCTGTGCTCAAAAGGAACAGGGACTCCCTTTCTCCCCACGCATTCTTGACAGCTCCCAAGTTTCCCTCACCAGTAGCCAGGAGATCAGGTACCCACTTCCCAGCCATCTGAGAGGCAATTCTCTGGTGTGTGGCTCCCAACGCCCATCAAAGCTTCCCTCTTCTGGGCTGGAGCATGCATTTGCCCTGCATGCTGACCAGGGTTCGATTCCCTGCACCGATTATGATCGCCATCCACACCCACCCCCAGAATGGCCAGAAGTGATTCCTGAGCCCAGAACCAAAAGTCTTGAGCAGCGGGGGTGGGTGGGGTGGGGGGCATGCCTTCCCCTCCCCCCCACCAAAAAATATCCCACATAACTTCCTTTTTTTCTTTCCTTTAGACTATTCTGAAAAGGCTGGGTGAAAAGACCCAGGATGTTGTTGTTGTTGTTGTTGTTGTTGTTGTGAAAACACAGTTGTGTTCAGGGGTTACTCCTGACTCTGTGCTCTGAGATTACTTCTGGCAATGCTCAGGATCATATGGAGTACCAGGGGGAAAACCCAAGTTGGCTTTTGGGAATAACTAACAGGCCCCTGGAGCCGACCCTGCAGCCGGAGCTGTGTCCCCTCCTCACCGATCATTGCAACAATAAAGACTGTTGGTGCCATCAAAAAAAGAAAAAAATACGTTGGGGCTGGAGCAGTAGTACAGTGGGTAGAGCATTTGCATTGCACGCGACCAACCTGGGTTCAATCCCCAGCAACCATATGGTCCCCCGAGCATCATCAGGAGTAATCCCTGAGTGCAGAGCCAGGAGTAACCCCTGAGCATTGCTGGGTGTGACTCAAAAAGCCAAAAAAACCAAATAAATAAACAAACAAACAAACAAACAAAAACCCACGTTGGCTGTATGCAAGGCAAACACCCTACCACTGTACTTTCTCTCTTGCCCTAAGACCTAGAAGTTTTACTTCTTCCATGTCTACAGATCTCAAGAAGTTACTGAACTTCTGTAGGACTTGCTTCCCTCCTTTAAATGGGAAGTCTTTTTTTTTTTTTTGGAGGGGGTGTTAATCAGGAGCAGGTTTGGGGCCATACCCAGTGGTGCTCCAGGGCCACTTCTAGCACTGTACTCAGGAATCAGTGAATCCTGATTCTTTGAGATCCAACTGGGGTCAGCTGCTTACAAGGCAGATAACTTAGCACTTGAATTCTCTTCGGGTTCTTAAAATCATATTTATGGGACCAGAGAGAGTACAGTGGACTTGCTTCAGATCCAGGTTCAATGGTCTGAGTGCAGAGCCAGGAGTTAAGTTCTGAGCATCAGGTGGGTGTGGCCTAGAAACCAAAATAACCACCATTTGCTTTTTTTTTTCTTTTGGCAGTGTAGGGTGGGGGTATAAACAATTAGATACTGCGGTTACCGTGATTACTAAGGACAGACACCACCCCCCCACCTCCTGCATGCAAAGCACCCCAGTCCACAGTGTCATCTTTCTGGGTCCCAACTTGGTTGGTTCGCTTTCAATTTTACAGTTTGTGTTTGATTCCGGGCCTTCATTTTGATACTTTGGAGAAGTGACCTGTTCCGTTTGTGTCATCTGTAAAATGGAACCTTTGCGTGAGAGTGCAGACCACTCGGCTCAAGAGGCGACACTTAGCGCCCTCAAATTGAAGTTTCTACAGTGTGGGGTGGTGGGGGGGGCTGTTCTTGTGAGTCCAGATTCAACCATTGGGGTGAGGGGCAGGGGGCTGCAAACAGACGTAACTGCAGCATCTCCAGGGACAGTAAGCAAGTCCTTCCAGCCGCGTTCCCCTCACTCCGCAGAGGCCCAGGCAGGCCAGGCGAGCGCGGGACCCCCATGCAGGTGAAGAGGCACCAATCCGTGGTGGCGTTTGCGGGGCTCCTCCCGCAGGGCCAGATCTCGGCGCGGACTACATTTCCCGGCCTGCACCTCGGGCCAGAGCCCCTAGGAGCCGTCTAGTCGCGGGGACCTCGCCGCGGCCACTCGAGGGGCTCCGGGCAGTGACCTCCCTGCAGGCAGCTCCGGTTCTCACTTGGCGAAGCGCGTGTGTCTCCGGGTACCCCACCTTGGACGGCAGCCCCGCTCTCTCCGCGGAGAGGGCCGCTTCTCTTTCCTCCTTTGGGCACCCGGCGCACGGGCCCCAAGCCGCTGTAGCCCCCCGCCAGGAAGGGTTCTTCGGGGCCGCTGGGTCCCCGCGGTGACTCGAGAGTGGGAGCCGGGCTCTAGGAGAGGAGTCCCGGGGCGGGGCTGGCGCCGGGCCTCGAGGCGGCGGCGGCGGCGGCGGCGGCCGGAAACTACAACTCCCAGACCGCACCGCGGCGGCGTACGTCACTCTGGCACCGCCGGCGGCCCGGGGTAGCGGCGCGGGCGGGGGCAGGGGCTGGGGCCGAGTGGGGAGGCCGGTGCTGGGGATGGGGGTCGCCCGGCCGCCCCGCGCGTGACAAGGCCGAGGGGCGTGCCACCCCGTCCCGGGGCGCGCGCCCCGGGGCCCCGCCATCCCTTGCCCCGCCGTCGTGGCCCGGGATGCGGAGCCGGGGGCCGCCGGTGGAGCTGCGCGGGGTGAGAGGCGCGGGGAAGCGGGCTGCCTGCCGTCCTCGCCCTCGGCCCCCGCCGGCGGGCCCCGGCCCTCTTAGCGCGCTGACATTCGGGGGGCACAGGTGAACCCGCCCGCCCAGTCCCCGCCCCCTCCTGGACCGCAGCGTGTCTCGGTGGGATCGACCCTGCCCTTCGCGAGAGGCTTTTGCTTGCTCCCTGCGGAGGGCCCCCCAGCCATGGCCCCCAGGAGTCCCCTGGAGCGCGCAGGGACTGCCCCCGATCCTGGCCGCCGGGGCCCCGCCGCCTGCCGCTGGCCCCCGGTGTGAAGCGGCCTCCAGCAGCCCCCGGCCCCCTCCCCCCACCCCATGGAGGAGGAGGAGGAGGAGGGGGCGGCGGCCAAGGAGTGGGGCGCGACCCCCGCGGGGCCCGTCTGGACCGCAGTGTTCGACTACGAGGCGGCGGGCGACGAGGAGCTGACCCTGCGGCGGGGCGACCGCGTCCAGGTGCTCTCGCAGGACTGTGCGGTGTCGGGCGACGAGGGCTGGTGGACCGGGCAGCTCGCGAGCGGCCGGGTGGGCGTCTTCCCCAGCAATTACGTGGCGCCCGGCGCCCCCGCCGCGCCCGCGGGCCTGCAGCTGCCCCGCGAGATCCCGTTCCACGAGCTGCGGCTGGAGGAGATCATCGGCGTCGGGGGCTTCGGCAAGGTCTACCGGGCGCTGTGGCGCGGCGAGGAGGTGGCCGTGAAGGCCGCGCGGCTGGACCCTGAGCGCGACCCGGCGGTGACGGCCGAGCAGGTGCGCCAGGAGGCGCGGCTCTTCGGCGCCTTGCAGCACCCCAACATCATCGCCCTCCGGGGCGCCTGCCTCAGCCCCCCGCACCTCTGCCTGGTGATGGAGTATGCCAGAGGGGGCGCCCTGAGCCGGGTGCTGGCCGGGCGCCGGGTACCCCCGCACGTGCTGGTCAACTGGGCGGTGCAGGTTGCCCGAGGCATGAACTACCTACACAACGATGCCCCCGTGCCCATCATCCACCGGGACCTCAAGTCCATCAACAGTAAGTGGTGTCCTGCTCCCCGCCCCCCCCCAAAAAAAAAGAGAGAAAAGAAAAACTTGCATCTGCAGAACCTGGTGCAGCCATGAGACCAGGGAGCCGGACCTGGGGACACCCAGGCTCAGCCTGGGGCTGGAAGAGCCTTTGCCTGCAGGGCCAGGTGGGAAAGGAGGCTCAGTAAGACAGGGAACACCAGCCTCGCAGGCGAGAGCTGCAGTGCGAGCAGTCCCCAGGATAGGCTCCCTGCCCCCTCACAGCCCAGCCTGAGACCCAGCAGGCAGCAACAGAAACTGCCTCTCTGGGAGTCAGGGGCCTATGGGCCAGTGATTGCCAAGTGCTCTGTCCCAAGTGCTCTGCCCCATTTGCTGTCCCAAATACTCCGCACCAAGTGCTCTGCCCTGAGTCCTCTGTCCTGAGTGCTCTGTTCCATATGCTCTGCCCCAAGTGCTCTTTCCCGAGTGCTCTTCCCTGAGTGCTCTTTCCCAAGTACTCTGTTCTGTGTGCTCTGTCTTGAATGCTCTACCCTAGTGCTCGGCTCCGTGCGCTCTGTCCTGAGTGCTGTTGCCCCATGTGCTCTGCCTCATGTTGCTCTGCCCCGAGTGCTCTATCCCAACTACTCTGCCCCAGTGGTTTGTCCCTAGTGGTCTGCTCTGTGTGTTCTGCCCCTAGTGCTCTTTTCTGAGTGCTCTGTCCTAAGAGCTCTGCCCCGTGTGCTCTGCCCAAGTGCTCTGCCCGTGTGCTCTGCTCTGTGTGCTCTGCCTCAAGTGTTCTGTCCCGAGTGCTCTGCCATGAGTGCTCTGCCCCAAGTGTTCTGTCCTGAGTGCTCTATCCCGAGTGCCCTGCCCCGTGCACCAAGGCCATAACCCTGGTCTCTCCCAGCGGCCACAGTCTCCCCATCCTTTACCCCCTGTGACATCCCAAAACACCTCTGGACATTGCTGTTTGAGGGAGGGTGTTAGGGCCACACCTGGCTGTGCTCAGGGGTCACTCCTGCTGGGGCTCTGGGAACTCCGTGTTGCTGGGGATTGAACTGGAGTCGGTCACATCGAGGCAATCCCTGTTCGTTTTTTTCTAACCAGCCAAATTAATTGTTATTATTATTATTATTATTATTATTATTATTGCTTTTTGGGTCAAACCCGGTGATGCACAGGGGTTACTCCTGGCTCATACACTCAGGAATTACCCCTGGCGGTGCTCAGGGGACCATATGGGATGCTGGGAATTGAACCCGGGTTGACCACATGCAAGGCAAACGCCCTACCTACTGTGCTATTGCTCTAGCACCCAAATTGATTTTTGTTGGGGGGTCCCACCCAGCAATGGTCAGGACTGCTCCTGACTCTGTACTCAAGCATCACTCTTGCTGGGCTTGTGGGAACATATGGGTTGCCGGGGATCAAACCCGGGATGCTCCCTGCTGTACTATCACTCTGCCCCCAAGCCAGATATTCTTGAGGGAGGGGGCTAGAGAGCTAGTACAACAGGTAGGGTGCTTGTTTTATACTCAGTTGAGCCAGGTTTGATCCCTGACACCACCTAGGGTCCCATGAACCCTGCCAGAAGTGATCCCTGATTGCAGAGCCAGGAGTAAGCCCTGAGTTCCATGTGTGTGGCTCAGAAACCAAAGAATAAGAATATTCTTGAGGGAGAGGGCTATGAATCACTGCCAGTTAAAAACTGCCCTGTCCAGCACTGGCCTTTCCTGTGTGAGGCCCTGGGTTTGGTCTCCATCACAGAAAGGGAAGAACCGGGCTGCTTCCTGAATCAGCAAGATCAGGCAGAGCAAAAAGTGTGGTGGAAGTGGCTCACGGACAAGCTGCCAGGGTTCAGGGCAGTGATATAGTAGGAAGGTCAGCCTTGCACATGGCTGACATGGGTTCGATCCCCGGCATCCAGGGATCCCATAGACCTGCCATGAGTGATCCCTGAGCACAGAGCCAGGAGTAAGTCCTGAGCTCCAGGAAGTGTGGCCCAAAAACAAAAAAGGAACAAGCTTCCAGGCCTAGTTGGTTGAAAGAGGACTGGGGCCAGGTGGCAGGGAAGTTTCCCAGGGACCACATCTAAACGGAGTTTCGTATCAGCAGATATTAATTGATTGCCTATTAAATAAAAGTCCAACTGGCACCAAGGCAAAATGCTCTTCTGGTCCAGAAGCTGAAGATCGCATCCCTTCCAGATGTTTCCAGACCCTGCCCTTGACCCATGAGGATACAGCCATGGGACAGCCCCCGTCCTGGTGCTCGCATCCCTCCTTGCTGCATCTCCCCTCATTCCCGTGCTCGCTCGCTCTTTCTCCCCCTTGTTTTCTTGTTTTTTGTTTTTGTTTTTGTTTTTGTTTTTTTTTGCTTTTTGGGTCACACCCGGCGATGCTCAGGGGTTACTCCTGGCTCATGCACTCAGGAATTGCTCCTGGCGGTGCTCAGGGGACCATATGGGATGCTGGGAATCGAACCTGTGTGGACCACGTTGGCTGCGTGCAAGGCAAATGCCCTACCCACTGTGCTATCGCTCCAGCCCCTTGTTTTCTTGTTAAACGAGATCTAGCCAAAGGCCCAGTGGGAGCCAGAGTACAACCCTCCCTGTACATGCTGGCCTGGGTTTGATCCCCAGCACCCAATATGGTCCCCCCCACACTGCCAGGAGTGATTCCTGTATGCAGAGCCAGGAGTGACCCCTGAGCACAGCCAAACCCCGCCTCCCACCACCAAAACATAAAAGAAGGCCGAGCGGGGAAGTTGGCCACTCATCCTCCACATTTGGGAATTCATTTAAGTCTTACCACATTTGGGGGTGAGGTGGCAAAGGAGCCTCCGGGTGGTGCTCTGGAGGCCCCTTCCAGCAATTCTTGGCTGGTAATTTAATGTGGGGGGGGGGGGTCCCAGGGACTGTCCGGGGTTATGCCAATGACACCAGGTGGGGCCTCCAGGCCTGCCCCTGGCAATGCTCTAGGGACTGTGTGCCGGGATGGAACTGGGGTTGGCTGCAGGGGGGGCCTGTGCTGTTAGCATTCTGCTCGCCTGCTGCCCCCCAATCCTCCCACTTCATAGGTGCCCCGCCAGGTGCCGCCCAGAGGCGACTCTGGGGCTTTCGCTCAGGCCATGCTCAGTGGCCCGTGTAGGATGGGGCAGGGAGGGAGCGGTCAGCGTGGGCCTTTGGCATTTGAGGGGTGTGTACCAGCTCCTTGTGCTCTCTCCCCACCTCCTTCCTGCATTTTTATGTTGGCTGCCCTGCTCACACGCCAGCCTGCTGGCCTGAGCACAGAGGGACAGACTTTGTTCCCACCACTGACCCGGTCAGACACCCTTTACTCAGCAGAGTGCCCAGGTGCCCAAGCGATGCCCGGCCCGGCTGGGAAGTAGCCAGACAGTGCCAAGGCCCTCCGTGAAGCTTGTGCTCAAACTTCCAAATGGACAAATGGAGGCAGGGGGCTTTGATGCTCCCCGGGAAGATGGGGCCCCTTCCCAGCCCTCTTCCGTCCCTGTGGATTCATAGCTCACAGGTGACATTAAGGACATCTCAGATTTTTCTGGATTTTCTGTGCCACCCGGGAAGAAGTTGGTGGGACTTTCTAGGCTGGCGTTTCCTGTTCAAGTGCTGGGGTGCGGGGCTGGAGTGATAGTACAGCTAGGAGGGTGTTTGCCTTGCACGCTGCCGACCTGGGTTCAATGCCCGGCATCCCATATGGTCCCCCAAGTGCCAGGAGGGATTAATGAGTGCAAAACCAGGAGTAACCCCTGAGCATCCTAGGTGTGACCCAAGAACCGAAAGCAAACAAAAAAATAGAAAGTACCGAGGTGCCCCACCCCATCCCCCCACCCCCATCCCTCCTTATTCACAGACCACCTCATCTGATATCCTTTACTTTTTGGCTTTTCTATTTATTTATTTATTTGGGGGTTTTTTTTGAGAGGGGGGGTCACACCCAGCTGTGTTCAGGGCTGTCTCCTGGCTCTGTGCTCAGGGATCATTCCTGCAACTATATGGGATGCTGGGGATCAAACCTGGGTCGGCTATGTGCAAGGCGAGCGCACCGGCCCCCTCTTTGATTCTTCCAACCAGTAGTCGTTTTGTGTCTTTGGTTTGGGGGCCACTCTTCGGCAGTGCTCTAGGTCTATTCCCAGCCCTATGTTCAGGGGTCACTCCCGGCCTGGTTCACACCCAGACTTCCTGCAACCTGCTGACTCTTCAGACCCTCCACCATTATTGTTGCTTGGGTCACAGCGTAATGGTAGCGGTCATATTTGTGGTTTTGACATACAATCTCACAGCACCAAAACCACCTCAGAGTGCTCCCAACGCTCCCCCACTGTCCTCGTGTCACTTCTTGTCCACTCTTCCTTTCTCCCCTGCCCCGTACCCTACTGCTTGGTGATGTCTTTTTGGTGAGCAGAGACCCAGGCTCTGTCCTCAGTGGCCCGTGTAGGGTGGGGGAGGGGATGTCCTCAGTCCCGTGTTCTGACTCTATGCCAGGCATGAGTGAAGGTGTCCAGTTTTTTTAATTTTCTCTTTGGGGGCCACACTCAGTGGTGCTCGGACCTTATTCCTGGCTTTGCTCTCAGGAATCGGTCACTGCTGGACAGCCTGGGGGGGACCATATGGGGTGCCAGGGATTGAACCTGGTTAGCCACGTGCAAGACAAGCCCTGGACATGCTCTCCTACCTCACTGGCTCCCACCTGGTATGGGTTCTTCTGACTTGCTTCACTGGACATGAGGCCCTCCAGCTCCATCCCAGTTGCAGCAGACTAGGGGGTTTCGTCTTCGCTCAGAGCTGCATAGTTCTCCATTGTGTTTCAATATCCCACAGCTTCTTGATCTGTTCATCTGTACTTGGACATCTGGTTGTTTTCATTTTTTGTAATGAATAGTTGGGGAGAGGGTGTCTGTGTGTGTGTTTGTGTGTAGTGTGTGTGTGTGTCTGTCTTTTTGAGTTAATGTTCTTGTGTTCTTGGGGTTTATGCTGAGAGGTGGGACTGCAGGGCCATGTGGAAGTTCTATTGTTTGTTTGTTTGTTGTTGTTTATTTTGGTTTGGTTTGGGGGCCACACCCAGCAGTGCCTAGGGTTTACTCCTGGCTCTGCACACAGGGCTCATTCCTGGAGATGCTTGGGGGACCAAATGGGGTACTGGGGATTGGACCCGGGTTGGCCACGTGCAAGACACATGCCCTCCCTGCTGTGCCATCGCTCCAATCCGGAAGTTCTGTTCTTATGTTTTGGCCAAATTTCTGCTGTTTTCCATAGAGGCTGGACCACCAGAAGTGAATGAGGATTCCTGCTTCACCACATCCCCCTCAGCTCTGGTTGTTTCAATTTTTTATTTATTTTAGGGTATGGTGGCAGCAGGGGGTTCGGCTACCCCTCATCCTGTATTCAGGAGTGAGCCCTGGTGGCTCTCAGGGAACCATATCTGGTGGCAGGAATTCACACCTGGGTCAGCAGGCTGCAGGGCAAAAGCCTTAACACTTGTACTCACTTTGGCCTGTTTGCAGTCTTTATGTGGTACCAAGGATTTGAACCTGGCTCGACTGTGTGCAAGGCAGGCAACTTTCCCCCACTGTCCTGTCTCCCTTCTATACGTAGGGTTTGCTGGTTTGTTTTTGGTAGTGGTTGAGGGCATACGCGGCAGTGCTTAGGACTTACTCATGTCTCTGTGCTCAGGTGTCACTCCCGTAGGATTCAGGGGAGCATATGGGATGCTGGGGATTGAACTTGGTTTGACCACGCCCAAGGCTCTATCCACTGAACTATCTCTCTGGCCCTCCATATGTAATTTCCAAAAAGTGCTTTCTCCAGGGCAGGAGTAATAGTACAGTAGGGAGGGCATTGGACTGGAATGATAGCACAGCGGGTAGGGCATTTTCCTTGCACGCAGCCAACATGGCCGACCCGAGTTCGATTCCTCCGCCCCTCCTGGAGAGCCCAGCAAGCTACTGAGAGTATCTCGCCCACATGGCAAAGCCTGGCAAGCTACCCGTGACGTATTCAATACGCCAAACACAGTAACAACAGGTCTCACAATGGAGACTTGTGAGACTGGGCCCGCTCAAGAAAATCGATGAACAACGGGAGGACAGTGACACTGACAGGGAGGGCGTTTGCCTTGCAGAATGCCAAACCAGATTTGATCCCCAGCACCCTATATGGTTCTCTGAGCACTGCTAGGAGTAAGTCGTGAGCACAGCAGGGTCTGGCCCCAAAACAAGGAAAGAAAGACACGGGGCTCCGATGACGGAACTAGTCAGGCCTTTCTCCCCCCTTTTCTCACCCTGTGATCCTGGCCAGGTGGGTCCAGCACTGAGCCTTGAGCTGCTGGTAGGAAGATAGCTTGTGAGTTTGTTTGTGGGAAGGTTTGGCATCTGCCCGGTGTATCCCTGACTCCTGGCAAACCCCAACCATGATTATTGCTGTGAACCCAGGTGGCAGGCAAGCTGGCCTCTGTGCTCAGGGGAAATGTCAGCTAGATTCTGTCACAGTGATACTGTGTGACAAAGCACCTCCACAACTCTGTTATCTTTACTTTGGTTTTTTGGTGTTTGTGCCACAGCCAGCAGTGCTCAGGGGATACTCCTGGCTCAGAGCTCAGGGATCGCTCCTGGCAGTGCTCGGGAAACCATACTCAGTGCCGAACCCAGGCTTCCTTCTTGCTTTCTATGCGCTCCGCCCACTGAGTCATCCCACCATCCCTTGAACTTGGCAGCTGTCACGGGCTCCTTCCTGTGATGCCAATCACAGTGTGTGTGGGGGGGGGGGTCACTGCAGAGCTCCTCTTGGTGTCTGTCCCTGTCTGGCACCCGCTGGTGGCCAAATGCAAGAGGACAGAGGGCCAAGGGGCAGGCACAGGTGGGCCCCCATGAGACCTGGGCTCACTCAGCGCTTCTGCTGGCCAGAACGTGCCACATGGAGTCCGGGAACAAGTGTCTCTAATGAGAAGGGTCGTGTAGGTGTGGACAGGGGCCAGGGGAGGGTCAGGCTGGAAAATGCATGCCATGCGGAGGGGGCTCAAGCGGTAGCGACACCATCTGCCTCCCCTCCCCTGGACTCTGGAGTTCCAGGGTGAGGGTGGGGTCCCCCAGAGGGGCTGGGGCAGAGCCCGCCTATCCAAAGGGCCTCCATGCACGGACCGTCTTTCGCCCTCTCCCCTCTCAGTCCTTATCCTGGAGGCCATCGAGAACCACAACCTCGCAGACACGGTGCTCAAGATCACAGACTTCGGCCTCGCCCGCGAGTGGCACAGGACCACTAAGATGAGTGCAGCGGGGACGTACGCCTGGATGGCTCCTGAGGTCATCCGCCTCTCGCTCTTCTCGAAGAGCAGCGATGTCTGGAGGTGCCGTGGTAGGGCTGGGGGGGGGGGGCGCCTAGAAATCCAGGGTCTGGGCCTGCAAGATTTGGCCATCAAGCAAACACGGGAGCGGGCACCTACCTGGGGGCGGAGACATGGGGGTTCCTCCGCATCCCAGGCTTCTCTGCTCCAGCAGCACCCTGGGGGTTCAGGGAGACAGAGAACGTGGCACAGGGTACCCCTCAGTACAGGGTACCCCTCAGACACCCTTCCTGCCCTGCTTTATGCAGGAAGCCGAGGTCAGTGGTTAGAGGGAGGGTGGCCAGGGAGACAGAGGTTAACAGACATAGGCAGTGACCACTTGCAGGGGCAGGAGGTAGAGACACACACACTGGGCGGGAAAGGCTGTCTTTATGCTCAGAAAATTTTCCCACAGTGCTGGAGAGACTGTACAAGTAACAGTTTAGGTGCTCCCCTTGCACGTGGCCGATGCCAGTTCCGTCCCTGGCACCACATCGGGTCCCCTGAGCCCTGTCAGGAGCCATCCCTGAGCCCCGCTGGCTGTGGCCTAACAGACCAGATGGTTTTGGGGCTCCCCCAGAAGACAGAGTCCCTGCTGTGGCACAGGGAGGTGGAGAAGCGCTCCGAGGGCTAGAGGTGGCTTTGGGGAAGGAGCCCCTCGGAGTGACCCTGACGTGGGGCTGAGGCGGGGTGCCCCAGGAGGCCCCCAGAGGAGCCTGGGGTGGCCGAGGGCTGAGTCTGTGAGAGCTCCGCAGCAGGTGGGGACCCATCTGGGGGCTGGGAGCGGGGTGCCAGGAGCTCCATATCTTTAGGGGACTTGCTGGTGGCAGCTGAAATTCTCCGACCCTGGGGGGAGCCGGGGGACACTTAAGGGCAGGATGGCCCTGAGCAGCAGCAAAGCTGGGACTTCGGGCCGTGTCCAGGGGAGCCGGGCAGCCCTTGGGAGTGCTCTTTGCACTGCAGGCGCCAGGCCACCCCACGACCACTCAGCAGGGCTTGCCACTTGCTCGGCACCAGCAGGGCCTGAGCAAAGAGACCATGTTCCTGCCCTGCCATCAGGGTGGGCTGCCTAATGGGCGCACTGACCACGGCCAAGCTAACCCTTTCCCCGAGTGGGCCCAGCCTCCGCGTCCCAGGCTTCTGCTCCTGCAGCACAGAGACGCCTGCCCGCTCATGGTGCCCCTTGGCCCCCCTGCCTGGGTTCCCAGGATGTGCATCATGGGTGGGGACCCCCTCTCAGACTGAACTGCTGCCCCCAGCCCCTGCATGGCCTCCCCACCCTCACACCCCACAGGTTCACCCGGGTTCCAGCTCTCAGCTCCACACTCCAGCCAGTAGGAAAGAGAAAGGGGGCGGGGGTAGAGAAAGGGGACCCTGCCACAAGGGACCCTTGTAGAAGTTAGCGTCTCACTCCACTGGCCAGCACATGCTCACGGGGTAGGGGCTTCTGGGGATGGAGCCCAAGGCTCCGCAAGTGCTCGGCCTGTGCTTGCCCACCTTTACCACCTCCTAGTCTGCTGGTGCTGGGCACTCTGAAGAACCGGAAGAGGTATGTGAACAGGTGCGGGCAGGGAGCCGGCAGGTCTGGCGTGCCCCAGGGCCTGAACTCTCGGTGGGAAATGCAGGCTCAGGGTCCATGCCATTAGGAGAACTGCAGGGGCTGTCAGCTGGGCAGCTTGAGGCCATGGGTACCTGCACTGCCTCTTTCCTGTGTGTCCCTAGGCAAATAGCCTAGCTTCTCTGAGCCCAGACCTGCTCCCAGGACAAATCGGGTCATCCCGGTGCCTCCTGCCTTCTTGGGCTGTTGTGAGGGTCACTGAGCATGCCCAGCATGGGGCGGGGCTGGCTAAGTGCTTTCATAACCAGTGCCCAAGAGTGTTCACTTATTACCAGAGGTCAGTGCCAAGGGTTCTGCAGGAACGTAGAGGAAGAGCCTATACCCCAGCTCTGGAGCCTGCCCGGCATCGAGGGCACATGAGTGGATACTTAGAGGACAGATCCAGGAGGATGGAGTGGGAGGGCTCCCTGGCTGAGGGAACTGCATGTGCAAAGGCTGGGGGCCAGGCCGAGCAGGCACATTCAGCTGCTCAGTGGCAGTCATCAGAGCTAAGAGGGCATCTTTGCCCCTCAGCCCAGGGCACCAGGAAGGTTCTTGGGCAGGGATGAGGGAAAGTAGGAAAGCCACACGCCGTCAATCTGTGTTCATCCCGGATCAGAGTGAGTGTGGGTGTTGGGGTGAGGGAGGCCCCTGTGGCCCCAGCAGGGCTGGGGTCCGGGCCGGGAGGGCTGTGGCGTCACCCCTCCTCTCTTCCACTGGCAGCTTCGGGGTGCTGCTCTGGGAGCTGCTGACAGGGGAGGTCCCCTACCGGGAGATCGACGCCCTGGCCGTGGCCTACGGCGTGGCAATGAACAAGCTGACGCTGCCCGTCCCCTCCACGTGCCCGGAGCCCTTTGCCCGCCTACTGGAGGGTGAGCCAGGGTCCCCCCAGGGGAGGGGGAAGGCTCCTCGTGGGGTGGCAGAGATCTCCAGCACAAGCATCCCCCTTAACCTTCCATTGCAGTGGGCCCCAGTACAGAAGCAGAAGGGCCCTGAATCTCCCCCAAGCTGGCTCCAGACCGTCCCATCTGGCCAGGCCCACAGCCTGTCAAGGCTTCCTGCACTGCACTGCGCTGTCCTCCTGTTGTTCATCGATTTGCTCGAGCGGGCCCAGTAATGTCTCCATTGTGAGACTTGTTACTGTGCTTGGCATATCGAATAGGTCACGGGTAGCTTGCCAGGCTTTGCCGTGCGGGCGAGATACTCTTGGTAGCTTCCCAGGCTCTCCGAGAGGGGCAGAGGAATCAAACCTGGGCCAACCAGGTCGGCCGCGTGCAAGGCAAATGCCCTACCCGCTTTTGGCTTCCTGGGCTCCACGCCCCCCCCCAAACCTCGCTGAGGGGCACAGTTGCTAGTCTTGGGGCCTTTCCCTGGGCACTGAGTGTCAGCTGTTTGTCCCCGAGTCCGGTGAGGGCCTGCCTCCCACTGAGCAGCTGGTACCCAGGGCGTGGCCTCTGACCCCATCCACTCCAACCCCAGAGTGCTGGGACCCTGAGCCCCACGGGCGGCCGGATTTTGGCAGCATCCTGAAGCAGCTGGAGGTCATCGAGCAGTCCGCCCTGTTCCAGATGCCGCTTGAGTCCTTCCACTCACTGCAGGAGGACTGGAAGCTGGAGATCCAGCACATGTTTGACGACCTGCGGACCAAGGAGAAGGTGAAGGGGTGTGGGCACAGGGGGGCATGGGGACCATTCCCTGGGACCGTGCCAGGGCCAGGGGCCTTGTATTTTCTTTTGTGGTGCTGGGAGTCGAGCCCAGAGTCCCACATAAGCAGGTACCCCGAACTACCTCCACAGTGATAGGGGATGTTTCTTTGGAAGGAGGGCACATCTAGCAGTGCTCGGGACCATGCAGTGCCGATGATTGAGCCTGGGTCCCCGCACATGGCATGTGTGCAGGATGGTGCTTCCTTGGGCGAGGGAGCCGGCTTCAGGGTCTGGTGCAGGCTCTGCATGCAGGAGGCCCGGGTTTGCTCCCTCGCACCGCAGAGTCCCCCAGGCACTGTCAGGAATGAGCCCTGAGCACTGAACTTGGAGTCACCTCTGGGCACTTCAGGTGACCAAAACCAAACACTGAAGCAGGTCTCCTGTCGGTGACCACATGAGAGCACGGCTCTCACGTGGACCTGCAGGCGACCCTGCTTGACATCTGGGACTGGCTTTGAATTCAACAAAAATGCCAGAGAAGAGAGCAATTATTCAGAGTCAAAATGTTGAAGTCAGATGAGGGGCGCCTGGGCCGCAGCCTTCTTGCTGCTTCTCTGTGGGTTTTTGAAGTTTTTCAAATCTAAGTTTAAAAGAAGACAAGTCAGAGCGGAAGATAGAGAGACGCAAGGCCCCTCGCACTGAGGTCATGCGGCACCAGCCAGCCTGCACCCCAGCCTCCCCTCGCCCCTGCAGGGACACTCCCCTGATGACCACACCAGGCATCTGTCCCCCTGCAGGTGCCCCCTCCCCCCTGCAGGCGCCCCTTGGCCCCTCCCTGCTGTAGCCGCCCCCTTGCCCCTGCAGGTGCCCCCTCACTCCTCTCCCCTGCAGCTGCCCCTCTCCCCTGCAGCCGCCCCTCTCCCCTGCAGGAGCTCCGCAGCCGCGAGGAGGAGCTGCTGCGGGCGGCACAGGAGCAGCGCTTCCAGGAGGAGCAGCTGCGGCGGCGCGAGCAGGAACTGGCGGAGCGCGAGATGGACATCGTGGAGCGGGAGCTGCACCTGCTCATGTGCCAGCTGAGCCAGGAGAAGCCCCGGGTGCGCAGGCGCAGGGGCAACTTCAAGCGCAGCCGCCTGCTCAAGCTGCGGGAAGGCGGCAGCCGCATCAGCCTACCGTCAGGTGAGGGGCCCGGGCGGCCAGGTCACCCCCGGAAGTCTAAGGAGTTGGCACACTCACCTCCATAAAAGCAGAACCTTGTGGTTGCCCTCCATGTGCCCCCTCGGAACACAACTCACTTCCACCCCCTAAATTCAGCCCATGAGATGTGGATCTCACTTTCGTCACTGCATCCCCCCTGTGTGCGTGTGTGTGTGTGTATGTGTGTGCGTGTGGGGGGGGGGGGGGTGCCAGGGATGGAGCCCAGGGCTCACCACATGAGCCACCATCCCAGCCCTTTTTGTTTTTTATTTTTGACTTGCACCTGGCAGTGCTCAGGGGCTAGTCCCCGCTCCATGTTCGCTCCTGGTGGTGCTCTGGAATCAACCTGGCAGAGACTGTGTGAGCTCAGCCCTGGCACCCCCCCCACCCACTTTCTTGCTATTGTTGGGGGAGGGGAGGGACCACAGTCAGTGTTGCTCAGGGCTTACTCCTGGCTCTGCATCCAGGTATCACTCCTGGCAGTCTCAGGGGACCATGCCAAAAAAAAAAACAAACAAAAGCTGATGAAACTGCCAGTGTTTCCCACCATTCTGAGAAATCTAGACCTTTCCATCCAGGTCCATCTAAGAGTTGGTTGGATCTCAGGACTTCATCAGGCTTTGTTCTTCCCCAAAAAACCTCTTAACTCCAGCACATTTGCACATTTGCACCCCTCAATTTTTTTGGGGGGGGGTGTCACACCTGGCAATGCTCAGGGATTACGCCTGGCTCTGCACTCAGGAATCTCTCCTGACAGTCCTCTCCTGACAGAGGACCATATGGGATGCTGAGGATCGCACCCTGCAGCTGCGTGCAAAGCAAACGCCCTACCCTCTGTGCCATCACTCTGGCCCCTCCAACATGTCTTGGAGGAGCCACGTTCACAGAGGGAGAAGAAATGGGAAATCAGTTTCATAATAGCTTTTGTTCAGCCCAACACAGCCAAAATGTCATGGTGCTGGGTATCACCAGTGGCATGTTTGCCACCTTACCATACCAGATTGCCACAATCCACTGTGTTCAGGCACGTAGCCCCCAACTCTCATTCACATACTTGACTGTTTTATCCATCATAAACTTGCATTTATTTTTTATTTTATCTTGGGGGTAATTTCCAGCTTTATGTTCAGGGATTGTACCCAGCAGTGCTGGGATGGGAGGTGAGACTGTGAGGTACTGGGGATCGAATTCAGGGCTTCCCACATGCAAAGCCTGTGCCCCAGCTATCTTTCCATCCCCAAAGGATCCCTTTCTTTCCTTCCTTATTTCATTCCTTCCTTGCTTCCTTCATCTTCTATCTTTATTTTTTGGCCTTTTGGGTCACACCTGATGATGCTCAAGAGTTAATCCTGGCTCTGCACTCAGGAATCACTCTTGGCAGTGCTCAGAGGACCGTATGAAATTCTGGGGGTCGAACCTAGGTCAGCTGCATGCAAGGCAAATGCCCTGCCCACTGTGTTACTGCTCTGGCTCTAAGGATCCATTTCTAAATGCTCCTTTCAATAAAGGGAACTCTGCATTTTGTGGGATGCACGAACCCCAGTTCCAGGGCTCCATTCCCACATGTGACTCCTGTCCACTGCACTGGACACTCGAGCCTGTGCCCTCAGACCTCCGAATGTGTCAGGGGTGTTAGGGGCCTTGGTGCCCCGCAGCTAACCTGTTGCACCTCACTCCCAGGATGGCAGATGCGGTGCATCAACTTGCCATGGATGTGTATTTCCCAGAGGGATCCTAGTGACCCCACCTTCAGGAGGGCAGAGGGGTAGTGTCCTGCTCCCTCTGTCCTGCCCTTCCACCAAGCAGTATCCCCAGGGCCCGCCAAGGGGGTAGCCACTGAGCAGAGTCTCTGCTTCCACAGGCTTTGAGCATAAAATAACAGTCCAGGCCTCTCCCACGCTGGACAAGCGGAAAGGATCGGATGGCGTCAGCCCTCCAGCCAGCCCCAGCATCATCCCCCGGCTGAGGGCCATTCGCTGTGAGTACCCCCAGACTTCTCACGGGCCCCCACCTGGCACTGTGTCAGAGATTCAACAGGACCCGAGTGTCATCGGGAAAGAAGCCAGAAAGTAAGGGGGGCGGGGCCGGCGTGATAGTAAGGTGGGGAGGGCCTCGCCTTGCCCTGGCCAGCCTGGGTTCCATCCGTCACCCCATCTGGTCCCCCGATGGGAGTGATCACTAAGCACAGACCAGGAGTAGGACCCGCTGAGCGTGGCCCCTAAACAGAACAAAAACCAGGGGGCTGGCAGGTGGTAGCTCAAGTGGCCGAGCACATTAACAGGGGTCCTGACTCGGTCCATCACCCCCAGGCCTTGGGCACCCTGGGGGCCGCCCTGGCAGCTGATTGCGGCCCTATGACTCCCAACTGTCTAGCACAGCCAGGAATGGACGCTATTTTTATTTATTCTTTCTGTAAAAAAATAAAGAGAAAGCCACAGTTAGCCCACTGGGGACTGTCCAGTAGTGATGAGCATCCCGAAGGCCAGCCGGAAGGAGGGCACAGGAAGAGAGAAGGTGCCATTTCCCTTCCGAAGAGCTGAGTACGGGGTTGGGGGGGCCTGAATGAGCCTCACAGGAACCAATGGGAGGGGGTCTGGCAGGGCACAGCTGGACAGGAAGCAGAGGGAGGCATGGCTAGTGGGGCAGATCTTGGGAGGGCCTCAGGGGCCAGGGCGAAGGGTCTGGGTCTCCTTGGAGGTCATTGTTCCATTACTGGGGTGCTGGAACCTACACCCACAGGGGCTCAGGGGCCACGTGGTGCAGGGCTGGAACCCGGAGCTGAGGTGCCTGTGGCCCCGGTGTTGTGGTGGGGCCCTGGGGGCTGGGGTCCAAGCACAGAGATGACAGTAGGGCCTTTCTCATCTGGCTGCTGGGGGTGCATGGTAAGAGGCAAAGACATGGGTCGGGGGGCCCTGGTGGGAAAGGTGCAGCTCCGGGGGCAACACCTCTGGCCTCGCACCCCCGCCCCCGCCATCTCTCTGTGTTTGTCAGTGTCAGGTGATTCGGGGGTGATTTTGATGAGGGACAGGGACTGCCACAGACATGGTGACCAGCATCAGGCCCAGCCACTGTACAGGGTCAGAGAAGAGACAGCAGCAGATTCTGCAGGGACCAGGGTTCCCCCAAGCCCCTGCCCACAAAGTGCTTCAGTCCTTCCTCCTCCCTCTTCATCCTCCCTGTCCCTCCTCCCTTTCCTCTCCCTCCTCCACCTTCTTTCCCTCCTCCCTCCTCCTCCTCCTTTGCTTCCTCTCCCTCCTCTCTTTCTCCTCCCTCTTTTTCTTCCTCCCCCTCCTCCTTTCCTTCCTCTCTCCTCCTCTCCCTCTTCCCTTCCTCTCTCCTCCCTTGCCTCCTCCCTCCCTCTCCCTTCCTTCTCTCTCCCTTCTTCCAGTCACTTGTCTCCTGCTGGCTTGGGCCCTTCCCCAGACATGTCCTGCCACAGGGCCTTGGCATGTGCCCCCTGTGCCCTCTACCATTTGCCCCTTTCCCTGTTTCCCATAGTGCTTTGCATCCCCTAACACCCACTTTTCAAGTAGGAATCTCAGATCCTGGGGCGTCACCACTGAAATGCTGGTAGAGATGGCGGGGATTGTTCCCAACTCTGCTACTGGGTGTGTTTGGAGGGGTAGGGAGGAACCCTGGGAAGGGTCAGCAGGAAAGGCTCTGAGGAGGGACACCAGGGGAGGGTGGATCTGAGGCTCCGGGGAGCTGCAGTACTGAGCCACTATCCCACGCAGTGACCCCAGCCGATGCGGGCAGCAGTGGCAGCAGCAGCGGGAGCAGTGGGACGTGGAGCCGCAGCGGACCCCCAAAGAAGGACGAGCTGGTCGCCAGCAAGAAGAAGGGCCGAACCTGGGGCCCCAGCTCCACCCTGCAGAAGGAACGGGCAGGAGGAGAGGAGAGGTACTGGGGGGCGGAGCTGACTCCCATTCCTCCTGCTGCCCGCCCCACCCCCTGACACCTATTCCTCCCCTCCCCCCCCAGGCTGAAGACCCTGGGAGAAGGCAGCAAACAATGGTCATCAAGTGCCCCCAACTTGGGCAAATCCCCCAAACACACCCCCATCGCTCCTGGCTTTGCCAGCCTCAATGAGATGGGTAAGAGGGGCAGGGTGCGTTTCCAGGGTTTCCAGGTCCGAGGGGGCTGCTCCGGCCGTCCCTAGGGATCGCGAGGCGTCTGTGAGCTTGGCTGGCCGGTGGGGGCTGTTGGCAGCACGGAGCGGGGCGGTGGGGTCCGGGCGCGGGGCAGCCGGCGTCCCCCAACCCCAGGGCCCGAGCCGAGCTGCGGTCTCTCCCGGTTGCAGAGGAGTTCGCCGAGGACGGCAGCGCGCCCCCGTCCCCCCACACCACCCCGTCCTACCTCACCGTGCCGCTCCCTCCGGAGCCGTCCCCGGGGGCGCGGGGCCCAGGCGAGCGGGCACTGACGCCCCCGGCGCGGCCGGGCCACGGCGGCCGGCGGCGCTGCGAGCTGGCCCTGCTGGGCTGTGCCACACTGCTAGGCGCCGTGGGCCTGGGCGCCGACGTGGCCGAGGCGCGCGCGGCTGACGGCGACGAGCACCGACGCTGGCTGGACGGCCTCTTCCCCCGCGCCGGTCGCTTCCCGCGGGGGCTCAGCCCGCCCGGGCGCTCCCCGGGCCGCCGCGACGACGCGGGCCCCGGGCCGCCCCCCGCGCCGGGCCTGGCGCCCTCGGCCACCCTCGTGTCGCTGTCATCCGTGTCCGACTGCAACTCGACGCGTTCGCTGCTGCGCTCCGACAGCGACGAGGCCGCGCCGGCCGCGCCCTCCCCACCGCCCTCCCCCTGCGAGCCTGAGCCGCCGCCCAGCGCCAACCCGCTGGTGGACCTGGAGCTGGAGAGCTTCAAGAAGGACCCGCGCCAGTCGCTCACGCCCACCCACGTCCCGGCCGCGCGCGCCGCCAACCGCGGCCACCGGCGGACGCCCTCGGACGGGGCGCTGGGGCAGCGGGGCGCGGCCCAGCCGTCGGGCCCCGGCCAGGGTGAGTGCGCGCCCCGCGTGCGTGCCCAGAAGATCCCGCGCGCGAGCGCGTGCGGCCGCAGCCCCTGTAAGGCAGCGCGGTTCTCTGCGGGGATAGTGTGCGTCCTCCAGTGACCCAGACGTTGGCTGAGGCGGCGTGGCTGGGACAGAAGTTGGCGACGATCCCCGAGCGCAGCCCCCATCTGGTTAGAACTGGAGTGGAGAGATGGCACGGCGGGCAGTGCACTTGCTTGCCAGTGGCCCACCCGAGTTCCATGCCCGGCATTCCACAGGCCAGGAATGATTCCTGGGTGCAGAGCCTGGAGTAAGCCCCGAAGCACACCGCTAGAAGCAAAATACTCTTTTTTTTTCTGCTTTTGGGTCACACCTGGAAATGCACAGGGGCCATTCCTGGCTCTGCACTCAGGAACTACTCCTGGCGGTGCTCAGGGGACCGACCATATGGGATGCTGGAAATGGAACCCTGGTTTGCCGCGTGCAAGGCAAACGCCCTACCCGCTGTGCTTTCGCTCTGGTCCCTCTTTTTTATTTTATTAATTGAAAAAACCTGGGGGCAGGGTGCTGTTTAAGTCCCAGCTGAGACCCATTCAGCCCAGAGATGCGTTTGGAGCCAATTTGAGGTAGAAGATCCTCTGCTCTGGCGGGGTGCTGGGCTCTGACACTCCCCCACTCTCCACAGGCCCTCGAGACGCCCAGGACTTCCCCCGCCTACCAGACCCCCAGGCTCTGTTTCCGGCGCGTCGCCAAGCTCCTGAGTTCCCTGGCCGCCCCACCACCCTGACCTTCGCCCCGAGACCCCGACCTGCCTCCAGCCGGCCCCGCCTGGACCCCTGGAAACTGGTCTCCTTTGGGCGGACACTCAGCATTCCACCTCCCGGCAGGTGGGAGCCGGCGGGGAAACTGGGCACGGCCAGCGGGCAGCCCACCCTGTTGGACCTGGACATGGAAGGGCAGAGCCAGGACAGCACGGTGCCCCTGTGCGGGGCGCAGGACTCCCGCTAATGCTGGCCTGCCCGCTCGCCCGCCGGGGCAGCCTTGAATGTAGCGTCCCAGGCCCAGCCCCAGCCCGCTGGGCCACAAGACTGGGGAGGCCCTGGGCAGGAAATCCACTATTTATTGGGGATGGGGGAGGGGGACTTAACTTATTCCTTTGTACCCCAGGGGGTGGGGCCTGTGCCTACCCTGCAGTGGGGGAGGGTCGGCAGGGACACTCAGGGACAGGGCATCATGGGGCGTTTGGCACAAAATGCAACATTAAAGGTCACCCTGCCCCTTCCCCTGCTGTGTGTCTTGTCCTCGCTTGCTCCTTCAGACTCTCCGGCCTGCTGAGGCCTTGGGTGCATGTCCCCTCCCTGTGCCCACAGAACACCACATACAGCCGATGGTCACCAGAGACAAGTGCTTTACCAGTGAACACACAATTGGGGTGGGGGGTTGGGGCGGGGTGGGGGGAATTACAGGCTGAGGTGGAAGGAAATGGGAGTAGGGGACGGTCCAGCCCGAGTTAACCTCAGCCAATGACATCCCGTGGTCCAGCCCGGGCCCCACTGTCTTCCCGCTGGAGGCCACAGCGGTGCATCTTCAGCTGAGTTAGCTGGATGTAGCGGAGGACATTGGTGTCTGCAGAGGAGGCAGGCAGGCCGTTACCTGGGAGGGCCCTGGAGGCAGCAGGTGGCATCTGGACCCCCACCTCATTGTCACCAGCCTCCTGTGGCTCCCCCGCTCAGCCAGGACTGGCAGGGCCCTTCTCTGAAAGTCCAGCCGCGCCCAGCTGCCGGGAGGCACCTCATGCTTCACACCAACACACTCGGCTTCAGCTGCCTCTGCACCAGGTGCCCATCATGGCCCTCAGCCTCCATGGACATTGCCAGGGTCTGTGCTGTGAGCCTGGAGCCTGTGCCAGGGCATCCATTCCTGTCAGTGACCCTTATACAGACTGACTGGGGTGTCCACACACACACACACACACACACACACACGCACACCCCATATACTACACTATCATATACCACACATACCGTACACCATACACCATACAATACTACACCATCATACATCATACACACCATACACTACACCCACATCATACAGCACACACACCATACTCCACATACACCATACATCATACACCACACACAAGATACACCACACACCATACACATACCATACAGTACACACACCATGTTCCACATGCCACACACCACACACCATACATTACACCCATATCATACACCACACACATCATGTCTTACATACATACACCGTACCACATCATACACCCCTACACCATACACTACACCTACATCATACACCACACACTATGAATCACCACACACACCATACACACATCATACAACCTCACGCTGTATACCACATACCATACACACTATACACAATGCCCACATCATACACCACATAGACCACACATACCGTACACACTACGCACTATGCACACATGACTTACCCCACACACACACCACCATGCACCCCTCTCCCAGAGCACAGAGATGCCTCCTGTTCTGGCAGTGTCCCCCACCTCCCAACTGTCAGTGTCCTGGCATCGCCCTCCCTGGACTTTTCCTCTGTGCAAGTGCTCAGCCGGGTGTGGTGGGGTGCTGTGAGCGTGAGAAAGGTGAGAAGGGAAAGGGAGCATATGGGGCTGGGGAGGGTGGCGGACATGGAGGTGAGTGCCGGAGGCAGCAGGACTGTGAGAGGAGCGATGGGGAGGAGGAGGTGAAGGCAGCACCCCGCACCCTGCATGCAGCTCAGCTGGTCCCAGGCACGGCGCGCTCCCTCACCCGTGGGCTCCCGGCTGCGGGCCTCCTGCAGGTAGCGCAGCGCGCGCGCGTAGTCACCCAGGTGGTAGAAGGCGATGCCCGCGCGGTAGGTGGCCTTGAAGTTGCCCTGCTGCTTCTCCAGCACCTTGAGGCAGTACTCACGCACGCGCTCGTAGTTCACCAGCTCCGACTGCAGCAGGCAAGCTGCGGGGGCGCGGGGCCGGTTCTCTCAGAGCTTGCCTGCGCGTCCGGACCTCACCTGGTCCCGGGGAACAACCCCCACACCAACCCGCCCCAAGGGATTGCTCTTGGGTCAGAGCGGGGTGGGGGTGGGGGGCATCTGCGCCGCCGCTAGAGGGCGCCAAGAGCCGCCAAGCACCCTGGAGTCACCACTAGTCGGGAGCGGGAGCGTGCTCAGGGCGCGATGGCAGAGGAGCCGGCTGGGGCTTGAACCTTTCGTCCAACGAACGTTTGCGGGTGGCAGCCCAAAGTCCGCCTCCTGTGTCCCGGCTTCTCCCATCAGTAGATCCTAACCGCCCGCCCCCTTAAGTTGTGAGGTCTCCCTAGGGATCACACCTCTGGCCCTTTCAAACCCCCCATCCAAGGAAGGCTTCAGAATCGCCCCATCCCTCCGCCGCCCCCAGACCCCTTCTGCGCCTCCCCCCCCCCGACGACCCCGTACCCGTTAGAGAGTCATAGCATTCGACCTCCGTGTTCTCCACCAGGCGCCGCTGCTCCTCGCTGAGGCGGGCCGGCCCCTGGCTGCTGGCAGGCCCGGGGGCGGGGGCGGGCAGGCCCCCGGGGCGGGCTCCCTGCGCCGCCTTCAGCTGCAGCAGCGCCCGGTGATACTTGCCGATGGCTTCCCGGAACTTCTTCTCCCGGTAGCAGCGCTGGCCCTCCGCCTTGAAAGCCACGGCAGCCCGCAGGCTGCTGTCGAGCGCCGCGCCCAGGCCCCCCGACGGCTCGGGGGCAGGACCCGATCGAGCCGAGCCATGGCGGGAAGCCGGGCCCGGCGGGGAGAGGGCGGGAGGCGGGCGCGGCGGAGGCTCCGGGGCAGCGCTGAGCATCAGCACCGGGGACAGCGCGCCGCGCTGCATTGTGGGAAACTCCTGCGGCCGCCGCTGCAGCTACCGCATCGCCCCCCGCGGGGCCGGTCCCCACCCTTTCTCCGCCCCCGCACCTCCAGCAGCCGATTCTGGCTGCCCCCTACGGGTCTAGAGAAACCCCTCCAGAATTCTTCCTTCTCCCCTTCAGATTCAGCCCGGTTCTAGCCCTGCGGGGCTGTGCTCTCTCTCCACTCCCCTTACCCGGGACTCCCCACCCTCCATCCTACTCTCCTCCCCCTGCCCAAAGCTCTGAAAGCTCTCTACAAGGAAAGGACAAGTCGGAGGGGAAAGCACAGGGGATAGCAACTTCCATGGAGAGCTGGTTTTCAGACAACGGTAGCTTTTGGCATAAAGAAGCTCAGGTGGTCGAGAATTAAAAGCCCTACTAATATCCCCCCACTCACTGAAGGGCAAATCACCGCTAATGCTCTGTAATATCTATTAGGGACTGTGACAGCAAATTTCAGTGGGGGGACCATCCAGAGGGATTAGGGAGACAGAGAAGCCAGTGAAATTAGGGCCCCACCATGGGTGAGGGGGTTAGGGAGGGTTGTGGAAGAGGGAAGAACTCTCAGGAGAGACAGCTCCTCACCTTCACCAAGCTCCTTGCCCAAGTAGGAAAGCCAGCAGTGAATGATAGTCCAGCATGAGTGCAGAGTCAAAAGAACATCCAGAAAAGGAAAACACGGTGGACAGACCTGCCCCCCTCCTGCCTTAGCTGCTTCTTTGCTTCCTTGTGGGACCCCAGCATGCTCCCTGCTTTCCCCCATCCTACTTGTGGAATAGAGGTGATGAGGGAGTTTCCATCCGACTAGCTGTTGACACTGACTCCAATTATGCAGGTAAAGAATCCAGCACAGGGCCTGTTCTGCAGGGGGCAATAGGCATGGTTGCTCCCATCCTTGAGACAACTCTGACATGTGTGAGTCAATAGCTACTTATAGCTGCAGAATGAATGCACCCCCATATTGGTCCCCCAAGCCTGCCAGAAGTAATCCCTGAGAACAGAGCCAGGAGTAAGCCCTGAGCACTGCTGGGTGTGGTCCCCCAAAAAACAATTTTTTAAAGGATGAATAGCCTCATTACTCATAATGCTTTACTCCACCCCAAGACCCTAACTTGAGTCTCAGCCCTAAACCCTAAGTTTGGTGCCAGGATATAATATAGTGGGCAGGGCATTTGCCTTGCATGTGGCTGACCTAGATTTGGTCCCTGGCACCACATACGGCCCTCTGAGCACTGCCAAGAGTGATCCCTGAATGCAGAGCTGGGAGTCAGTCCTGAGCACTTCTGGGGCTACACCCAAAATAAAACCCTAAGCTAGCTAGTATTTCTCCCTTCCACCATTCTCTGCTGCCAGAGCCCCCCCCCCCCCCAACAGTCCCAAATCTAACCATGAAGCATGGCTTTGCCTCAGAGTGGGTGAGCAGCTGCTGTGTTCGAGGCCCTGAGTTTGATCTCCTCATACTGCACAACTCCCCAAGCACAGCCAGGCGTAGTCTCTACTGAAAAAAAAAAATACCTGAGCCTAAAACCTTACAATCCCGAAGCAGCGCCTACCCCTTCCTCTGATTGCTCTTTGCGGGCTGTCCCCTGCACTGCTGGCTACAGCCCTTAACACTGAGACTTCCTCTTCTCAGCATCTCCAAACACAGGTTTAGGAACCCCAGCCTCCTGCATTCCAGCCAAGTCCTCCTGGCATGAAGGTGAGATGACCCCATCTAGCAGTCCGCTACCCCAGCTGTAGTTCCTTCTGTCCTGCTGAAGAACTCCCCACTACCTCTGCTTCCCTGGTCTCAAGCTATTTCCATCACGATCACAACCATCGATTGTGATTGTTATTCGTCGATTGCCTTGAGCAGGCCCCAGTAACGTCTCGTTCATCCTAGCCCTGAGGATATTCAAGGCTCTTTCAGAGTTAGGAGAATGAGACCCATCATTGTTACTGGTATTTGGCATATTGGGTACACCACGGGGAGTTTGCCAGACTCTGCCGTGTGGGCAGGTTACATTCGGTAGCCTACCAGTTTGGGACTGTTTGGGGGGGGGGGGGGCTATTTCCATGTCTCAGTCTATTTTTTTTCCTTTCCTGGGACTTTGCCTTTGGGGCTCTTTTCGCCTTTGACATTTTGGGTTTCTCCCCTGAAGAAATTTGGCTACGTGGGGTCTTTGCAGATTTTTGCCATTTTCACTGTTTCTGCTACTTCCATAGTTGAAAGGGTGAAAGGTTTTATGGTGTGGGGTTGCTGTGAAATAGATACTAAAGGAAAACACGAGCCAAAACCTCAGGTGTGGTTATGGCCTCAGATTTCTGAGAGTGAATTCTAGAGGTCGCCTTTCTCTAGCTCCTGTTTCTTTTAATTTAGAATATGGAGATTTGGGGCCTAAATGACAGTACAGTGGGTAGAGTGTTTGCCTTTCACACAACTGACCTGGGTTTGACCCCTGGCATCCCAAAGGGTACTCTAGCATTGCCAGGACTAATTCCTGAGTGCAGATTCAAGAGTAATCCCTAAGTATTGCTCGGTGTGGCCCCCAAACAAACAAAAATGTGGAGATCCTCTAGCCCATAACAAATCTTTTCCGAGTACTCTTAATCGGCTAGATAGGAGTTTGGTCCAAATGTAGCTAAGTCACCTTCCTGCCAGGATGCTGGGCTGACACCAGATGTATACCCTGTCCCAGATTCACCTATGTGATTGAAGAAGGGGGTACGCTCCAAATCACTCATAGCAGAGCTTGGGGGGACCACTGTGATGCTGGGGATAGAATACAGGTGTGCTGCTTATAAGGCAAGAATCCTACCTGCTGCATTATAAGTTCAGAGCTAAAATTCTACTCTGACATCGGGGTACTTCTAGGTAAAGTAAATCAGAGTCCATTGGTCAAACTCTAGGCTGTCAAAGACACTACCACACAGTGTTCATGTTCAGGGATCTGCCTATGTGTTGTGAAGGACTTGTGTGGCCATTTGCAAATACAGATTGGGTTTCCACATATAAAAACAGATGCTCATGGGCTGGTGGAATAGTACAGAGGGCAGGGTGCTTGCCTTACACACGGTGGGCCCCGGTTCGATCTCCGGTATCCCAAGGGTATCTCGAGCCCCATCCGGAGTGATCCCTGAGTGAAGAGCCAGGAGTATGAGCACAGTTCTGCGAGCCACCACCACCCCCCCCCAAAACATATTAATGGAACTGAGGATTTTCAGCCTCACTTGAAAAAATCTGAAAACCTGGTAATATCGAGGGAGCATGACTCACAACTGGGGTGCATCCCCTTTTCTCAGAGCTACCATCCCTCCCAAGACCTACGTGGCGAAGGTCATTCCGTTTGCACAGCAATATCTGGCTCTGCACTTCTATCCTTCGATTCCCAAAGGTTTGCCCGGGGTTTCAGCCCACGGAGGCGCGGAAGTGCGCCGGCGCCCTCTGGCGGGAGAGTTCCAAAATCGCAACTCGCAGGGGTTTTTTTCCCAGCAGGCCCTAGGTGAACTCAGTACGAACATCCAATCAGGGGAAAGAGGGCGAAAAATCAACCAATCGCGCGCGAGAGGGGAGGCGGCCCGCGACCAATGGGGACAGGAGCGCCCGGAATAAAAGAAATTTTTATTGAAGTGGCAGCACACACACCATCTTTATTTGAACCGGGTCTCGGGGGTCAGGGCGGCCCAGGCGGGTGGTGGCGGAGCAGGCGGGCGGCGGTCAGGCTGGTGCCCTGGCGCTGGGGCCGCGCGTACTTGAGGAAGACGGCGGCGCGGCCCGGCGCGGGGCCTCGGAGCGCCGCGCGCGCCATGCGCCTCTCCAGGGCGCCCAGTTCCGCAGAGCTGCGGCGGGGAGACCGAGAAACGGGGCTGCAGTGGAGACGAGCTCGAGGCTGAGACTGGAGGGCCTGGGGGCCACTCGAGAACTCTCAGGGTCGGGCAGAGAGTGGGGGTTTCCGAGAGGCAGACTCCCCGCCCCCCGTTTGCCCGAAAGGCGCAGAGGCCAAGATCCCTAAAGAGGCGAGAGTGGGGCTAAAGATGGACAAACATTCAGGTCGACCTCGGGACACAGGGCTGGCAAAGAAGCCGACCTTCTCATTCTCAAACCCTGGGATGCCCAGGCCAGGAAGATGTTCTAATTCCGACCGTGGGTCCCCAAACCGGAACAAACCCCCATTCTCTTTCACCCGGGAAAGTCGAGTCTGGGTGTCCCCTCCCAAGCCCTCCTCCGCCTCACCCCCACCCCATAACCGTCGCCCATTCTCTGAGATGTTAACGACGGGGACCAGGAAGGTGGGTCGAGGTGGCCTCACCTGTAAAGCGCCAGCTTCGGGCCGGAGCCCGTCCCGCCGAGCACACGATGCGCCAGGCTCAACGCCGCAGCCGCGCGGCGACCAGGTTCCCAGGCCGCAGCCTCGGCCTCCAGCAGAGACAGCTCCAAGAAATAGGTGGCGAGGAGCAGCTCCTGCCGAGGCGGCAAATGCATCAGGCCCCGCCCCCAGGCCCTGCCCCCGCGCGAGGGTCGCGTCCCTGCCGACGCACCTGGGGGTTGCTCCCAGCCAGCGCCGCCTGCAGCCCGAGGCAAGGGAGCGGGCCCGGGTGGTGCAGTCGGAAATCCAGGCGGCTCAGGAGGCGGCGCTCAGCGCGGAGAAGCTCAGCACGCGAGAAAGATCCAGCGCCCAGGAGGCAGAGGGAGGTAGACTGAGGATTGGGACAAAGAGTGGGACGAGACCCTTGGGCCTGACTCCCCTCTCCCCCTCCCGGGCCACAGCCTTCAGGGGTAACTCCTGGCTCTGCAGTCAGGAATCATCCCTGGTGGTGCTCAGGATGCCGAATATGGGAAGATGGAAGCCGGGATGGCCGCGTGCAAGGCAACCTCTGCACTCTCTCTGGCCCCCAGTTTACTGTTCCCGCAACTGTAAAATGGGGCCACGAATTTGTTGCGTGGCAGCTGGAGAGAGCATGCAGGAGTCAGCATGAGAAAGACCCAGGTCTCGTTCAAACCCGACACCGCTGGCCTCCTGGTGTGACCCAGGTAGATTCTGCTGCCTATGGCAGGCATTTCTGGTTAGGCACTGCGTTTCTGCTGGCGTTTGTGCCTCTGACTGCACCAGGAAAACTGTAACTGAGTGTGAATATTCAAGATTGAGTTCAAACCCCAACTGCTGTCTTCCTGTCTCTGGGTCTCAGTCTTCTCTGTTGAAGGGACACTCAACGCCCTAGCTCTGACAGATCGACTGGAATTTTCAGAGCAGACTGCACACTCAGCAGGTGTTAGGTGTTAAAGCGCCCTCGAAGGGTTCCAGACCCCCCCCCCCCCCCCCGCCCGAAGTACCTCGGGCAGCACACACTCCTCCATCTTGCACGCCACAAACAAGCAGGCCACCCCCAGCAACTGCAGCCGGCGGAGGCGCACTTTGCACGCACACAGATAGGAATCCAGCAGGTGCACAGCCAGGTACAGCGTGTCCCCCACCAGGCCCAGGTACTCCTGGAAAGTGCATAGGTGACCATCAGGCTCCTAGGCTGTGTTGCCAGCCCACCCCCGACCTTGCCCAGCTACTTACGTGCACCTGAACCAGCCAGTCCACCACCAGCGCACGCATCTCTGGGGTCACAGTGCGTGGCAGGGCCCTCCTAGGCAGTGCGCGGCACACCTGGGTTGTAACAGGAAAAGACTCCTCACACCTACTCCTGAGCTACAGCTCTGGATGCAATCACTTTCTGACTCCAGTTGGACATTGCCATACCCAGACATGGGCAGCATCTTCCCCAGAGGAATTTCTCTTCTGTGACCCCCATCTGAAACCCTGCAATTTCTCCCAGACACCCTTTCTAACCACTTCTCCAAACTATAGCCTGCAGGGCCACAGACCTCTCCGTTCTTGGCCTGCCAATCCTGGTCAGCCCTTCTTCCCTCAGCACCCAGAAGAGACTAACTCAGGAACTCCCTAGCGTGGACCCTCTAGGATTCTGACTTTTACGACCTCTGGCAAGTGCTCATTCCTCAGTCTCCCTCAGACCCCACCCCCTGATCCTTCAGACCCCGCCCATTCTCCATCGTGCCACGCCCCTAAGGGGCATTCCCTGTCTTCCTGCACAAGGCACATTCCATAATTCCAGCCCATGTTAGGTCCTAGGCTAAACTCAGCTCATCCTGTCTCAGCGTCTCTGCATTCACGTTCTGCACCCCATCCCTGAGATGGTCCCTCCCAGCTGTTTGCACTGTCCACCCTTCTCAATCCTTCAAAAGTCCCTGCGAGGGACTGGAGCAATAGTACAGGGGGTAGGGCGTTTGCCTTCCACGGGGCCAAGCCAGGTTCAATTCTCAGCATCCCATATGGTCCCCTGAGCACCGCCAGGAGTAATTCCTGAGTGCCAAAGCCAGGTGTGACCCAAAAAGGAAAAAAAGGGGGGGGGAAAAGTCCCTGCTAGAATTTCCCTGAATTTCTCTGGTATCATGGCTTCTTCCCAATAGTCTGTTCAGTTGGAGCTATCTAGTGTATCTACTGCTTCTCTGTGTACTTCATTTGTCTGCCCCGCTAATCCTCAGGCAGCAGAGGGTAGGAACTTCCGTTCAGATTTCTGCTGCGTCCTGCTTCCCCTGCCCCAAATACTTATAGAGGTTTAAGAAATGTTTCTGGGGCTGGAGAGATGGGCAATACAATGCAATGGGTGCTCACCTTGTACGCAACAGACCCTGTTCGATCCCTAGCACCCAATATGTGGTTCCCAATTCCCCACTGGAGTGATCCCTGAGCATAGACCCAGGAGTTAAGCCCTGGGCACCACCAGGTGTGGCCCCAAAACAAAAACTACTCCCTGGTAGGGGAAATGGCTCAATGGGCTGGAGCTCGGGCTTTGCATGCAAAAGCCTTGGGTTCCATCCCTGATACTGCACATTCTCCTGAGTGTCCCAGCTGTGGGCCCCACACTGCTCTTCTCCCACCTGGCTTATACAGAGATCTGTGGGCTACCTGGCCTGGGAGGTTCATCTCAGCCTTCTAACTAAATGGCAAGTTCTAGCCACTGGCTGAACTCCCTGAAGACCAGCCCTCCAGATTCCAGGTGAGTCATCAAGGTATCCCCCGTGCCTACAATGAGCTCAAACACGTTTGTTAACAATGCCAAGGGTTTGTGAAATGGATTCAGGTGGAGCAGGTTCAGGTTCACCTGGCTTAGACAAAACAATTTAGGGGTGGCCTGGAGAGTTTGGGGTTTTTTCGTGCTTCATTTTGGGGGTCATACCCAGTGATGCTCAGGGGTTACTCTTGGCGGTACTCCTGGTAGGGCAAATGCCTTACCCACTGTACTATTGCTTCTGCCTGGGTCTGGAGAGTTGATGGTGGGTTTGGGATGAGTGGGTGAGCCCTGGGTTCCTCTGATTCCAAACCTGCAAAGAAGTTTCCTGCCAGAGAGTGGAACAGGAGTGGGGGTTGTGGGTTGTGCTCACCATGACTTCAGTGAAGATGTCCTGGGCATAAGCACGCTCTCCCTCCAACCCCAGCGTACTCAGCGCCTCTTCCAGTCCCGGAGGCTCACTTAGCCCCGGGAGCCTCTCAGCAAGTCTTGGGGAGCCGCTCCTGCAGGCGGGAACTGGGGCTCCCAGAGGTTCAGATTCGAGCATGGCCCCTGGACTCTGCAAAGAAAAGGTGAACAAGTGGCCTGTGCATGCAGGGGACTCACAGGCACTGGGCTGGGGGATAAGGCAGCTCACCAGCATCCTCTAGGCTGTGGTCTGCCAGGGCACAGGGGCATGCCTGCCTCTTCCCTCAGGAACTGAGGCCCCGGGGTAAAGGAAGGGATTTTAAATGCAGTTGGAGCATGCGCACTGTGCGCCCCTCGCCCGCTCTGCTGGGCAGATGAAGAGGTGCCCAGCTGAGCGCTTCCTACTCTTCTTGGTTCAGGCACTAGAGACTTCCTCATCCCACCTAGCATTTATGTTCTAGGAAATAATCCCCCCTTTTTTTCCCCTTTTGGCAGGGGGCCACACCCAGCAGTGCCCAGGGTTTACGACTGGCTCTGCACTCAGGGGTCACACTGGCAGGGCTTGGGGGGAACATACGTGGTGCTGGGGATCAAACCCGAATTGGCTGTGTGCAAGGCCAGGACCCTACCCTCTGTATTATCACTCTGACCCCCTAATCCCTGTTTTCTAAGGAAAATGAACCTCAGAGGTTCAACTTTTGTTTTGTGGCCACACCCAGTGGCATTCAGGGCTTACTCCACTGTTCAGGGATCGCTCCTGGCAGTGCTGGGGGCCCATCTCTGGAATCCAGAGATCCAACCCGGGTTGGCTGTGTGCCAGGCAAGCGCCCTACCTGCTGTACTATCGTGCGAGCCTCCAGAGAGACCCAACTGGATGTCTCCACCTGAAGACCAAAAGAACTAGAAATGAATCACAGTAACTGTGGCTCAGGGGCTCTCAGCGGGTTGGCTAGCAACCTTTTGTGCCTGTGACGAAGGGAAGGAGTCAAGGCATCGTCACAATCCTGTGTGTGCTAGCCTGGGACGGAGGGAAGGAACCAAGGCATCGTGGCAAATAGGAATCAGCAGGGCAGGCAGATGTGATGGGGATTCCAGACAAGGTTGGGAAGGCGGTGTTGTTACTACAGATATAGAACACTGTGGACAGGGATGTCTGTCCCAGTGACACCCCAGAGCAACGAGTGTCCAGAGCTTGCCTCTACATATGACCTTTTGTTTAGGGGGAAGGCTCCGAAGTGATGACCACGGTGGGGTCCGAGGGTCACTTTCGACAACATTCCACTAACCACCAGGTCCCGAGGATGTGGTACCCTTTGGGCCCTGTGGGTCCCTGGAGGACCACCAGGGAGGGATTCAGGGCTGTTCGCAGGGATGGTAGAAAGGGCACAGGACCCATGAGCCCAGATTGCACATGTGACCTGAATGTGTCCCAATGGCTGTACCATTTCCAGCGGCGGTGGCTCCGGGGCTGCTCCCCTTCTTAGCTCTAGGTTTGAGGGTGCAGTCTTTGGGCTGAGCAATGTCCAGGAGCCATGAGATCACACCCAGTGATGCACGGGTGCCCTAGTCATGCCAACTTTTGTTTGGGGGCCAGGGGTGCTCAGAGCTTACCTCTGACTCTGCACTCAAGGATAAGGCTCCTCGTGGGCCTTGGGGAACCGAGAGAGTGCTGGGTATTTTATCTAGGCTGGCCTCTCAGCCGAATTCATGCCACTTGCTCTTTTTTGGCTTTTTAGGTCACACCTGGAGATGCTCAGGGGTGTTAACTCCTGACTCTGCATTCAGAAATCACCCCTAGTGATTTGGGGACCATATGGGATGCTGTGGATTGAACCCCTGTCGGCCACGTTCAAGGTAAGCTCCCTCCCTGCTGTTACTACTGCTCTGGCTGCACAAACCCTGTCACTTTAATCACACTTGGGATCATGAATATCCTAGGTACGTGCTGTCCCACTGGAGCCATCTCCCTGGCCCCGGAACATCTTTTTTAAGGGCCACAGGTAGCAGTGCTCAGGGCTTACTCCTGGCTCTGCAGTCAGGGATCACTCCTGACTGGCTCAGGGGACACTATGGGGTGCCAGTGACTAAACCCAGGTTGGCCTTGTGTAAGGCAAGAATCCTATCTGCTGTACTATCTCTGGCTCCAATAACTTTTTTTTTTTTGGTTGAGAGTATGAAAGTGTGGCAGTGATAGCAGAAAGGATACCACCAAACTGGGAAATCTGAGTGTATCGTTAGTGGTGGGCCACTGGCCACTGAAAAAATCTGAACAGCAGCTTATGCCTAACCGTAGGGGTGAGAGGTGTGTCTCGTGGACACGGAAATGGAGAAGGCAGGATGGTCACTGTGACGGTGGTGGTCTGAGGCAAGTAATTTGTAGACAGTCCAGCCTGCAAGTGCGCAGACCCAGACACTATGGGCCATGGGCCAGCTACACCCCAGCTCAAAGCGGGACCTTTCCCGGGGAAAGCTGGCAGGGAGCACCTCAACCAGCGGCATCAGTCTTCACCAGTCACTGGGCCCTCCCCTCGGGATGCCAAGGTCACCTCTTCTTCTGGGACCTGGGAATTCTTGCCCAGATAGTGAGTACAGCCACCAAGAGACAGACCACAACCCCCAGAAGGACAGTCTGCACCCAGATGCCGTGGCCCAGAGCACGCCCGCCCCTGGAGTCTGGACGCCTCATTCCCGGTGCCCAAGGATGGGAGTGACAGGCAGGCGACGAGATCTGATACCTGATAGCACGTTAATTCAGCGTTAACCTTGGATATGTAAGAGAACGTTCTCATTTGGAAGCAGGGAGAGAACAGCGTGCAGGCACCACAGCGAAGGGGAAGACAATTCTTTGCATTGTTGAAAAAAAGATGGCCAGAGGCCAAAGCAAGCAGCTGACCCACGTTTGCTCCCCGGCACCACGTAGGCTCCCTGAGCACAGAGCCAGGAGTAAGCCCTGAGAACTGTGGAGTGTGGCCGGAAAATAACAAAAAATTTAGCCTCCCGGGATGTTTGCCCAAGAGCATACAGGGAGTCCCGAGGGAGCGAGGCTTCCTAGAGCACTGCTGACCTAGAACCAGGCCAGTGGGGTAACCAAGTTGCCTGGGGCACATCGCCTCGCAAAGCCTCACAGAGCAACTGGGAGGTATGAAAGAGCAAGGCCCCCGAGGAGACCCCAGAACACATCAACTGGCTGAGGGTCCTACTCTCACTGCATCCCCTACTGTCCAGTGGGGACACGTGGGTCAGGTGCCGAATGCCAGTGTCCAGAGTTTGGAACTGGAACTGAACGTGCAGGACCCATCTGACATGGGGGACATTTTGCAGGGTGCGATGCCTGTGGAGAGCTGACGGCATGGTTCCCAGCTGGGCTGCTCCCCAAATCACAAGCCTACGGTCACTTTTCTCTCTTCGCTCTCTCAAAAACCGGTCAGTATAAATTTCTGAGAGCCCCTGAGGAAAGATTCACCTCCATGTATCTAATTGCCAGATTTTTTTTCTTTTTAAAATACACACACTCCCACCTTAAAACCACATCCTGGGGAAAAGCCCTCCCTCAGATTCGAGCTGCTGAACCGGCAGGTGACAGTGAGGTGGACGGAAGCGAACACAGGTCACCCCTGGGGAGACAGGGTCCAAGCGGCACAGCTGTCGGGCTGCTTCAGTGATGAACCCACAGTCACGAACAACTCCAGGGCCTCAGTGTGGCAACGGCTCGCACAGCTCCGCCCTCACAGGTGAACGCAACATCTTGGGGACACCCTCTCCCAGCCATCCAGTCAGGCGCAGGGACTCAAGGAGAGAGGTGGCAGTCGTGAGGGTGCCCAAAAGCTTACACCATGCCGGGCGCCGCCCTTAAGCACAAACCCTGGCAACATGCCCTCAGGACTCGTGGAAGGTGGGGAGATGGGGGGCCTCAAGGCTCCTGGGGGAGCCAGTGAGGAGATAGGGGTGAGCAGGCCGCCCCCCATGCTGACCCAGGGGCTCCCAAAGCTGTGGCAGATTCCAGGGTGGGTGGGGCCTTCTGTGTCCCTCTGCTTCCCCACATCAGGCTCCCAACTTCTGCACGCAAGGAGAGGCCTAGTCTGAAACAAGTGTCTTTATTGCTGTACCGTACAAATATAAGGAGGGGAAGGCCAGGGGGAGGCAGAGATCATCAGATAAATGACATACATACACAGAAAGGAAAAAAAGACCCCCCTCCCCAAGAAACCCAGCCCCACCCCCACCCCAGGATGTCTTTCTGTGAACTACCTAGTACAGGAGGCGGGTGGGAAGATCAAAACCACGAAAACTAAATTCAAACTCCTGGAGCAGTGGGGGTGGGGATGGGGAGTTGGGGGCGGGCCAGGACAACAGAGGACCTCAGGTAGGCCCCCCCTCCCCGTGCAGGCACACCCCTCCCAGGGATGAAATGCACGGGCCAGGGCCAGGCCCAAGCCCTCCCCCATCACACACGTGCACATGCGCGCATGCGCGCGCACACACACACATACACACACACACACACACACACGCGCGCGCGCGCGCGCACACGCACACCCGAAGCTGAGTTGCTACTCACACCCCTGGCACGCACAGGCCCGGGGCCCCCACACATGCCCACAGCAGACACACATTCACCTTAAGGCTGCAGAATGTGGGGCTCAGAGACAGGGGGCGAGGGAGGCGCCTTCTCAGAGGTCCCCCACTCAGGAAGTACCAGACACGAGCCCTGCCCCCAGGCCCGGGCCAATACTGTCTCGGTGCGAGATGCGTAACAGGCTGGCACCCTCCGTCCCAGGCAGAGAAGGGGGTGATCCCAGTCCCTCCTCCCCTTTGGAAGGGGCTGGGGCCAGGCCTGAGGTCCAGCAGGAGGTAAGGCCAGCTGGAAGGAAGCCCTGGTAAGGCACGGGGCCGGGGAGAGGCAGGGAGACAAACCCCCCAATGTTCATTTGCCTCACCCCCATCAGGAGCACAGCTCAGAGTACGTCAGGGCTGGGAGGAAGCACCCAGCCCCGCCCCTAAGGGCCGCCCACACGGCTGCTGGCTCTTTGTCCACATGAGGGGGCTCAGGCCTCCCTCACAGCTTCCACAAGTCCGGCCTGGCCCTGGTCGTTATTGCTTTGTGGCCCTGGCTCCATTTGGCACCTTGCCAGGGCTATGTTGCTGAAGCCGGGATCTCCAGTGGGGTGGCATCCCCAGCCCTGGTCCGGGCAGAGGGGAGGGCAGAACAGGGCCTGGGAGCGGGGCTGTGGGGGCCGCTGAGGAGGGTTTGGAGGGGCTAAGAGAGAGCTTCAGAGGGGCTGAGAAGGTGAGCGATTGGGACGCAAACTAAAAGGCAAAATAAAAAGATGTTTTTTAAAAAAGAGGGAGAGAGGAGGATGGGGGAAGAGAGCGAGCGGCCCGGCGGTGCTGGCGGCCTGTGTGCGTGTGCGCGGGCGTCGGCGGGCGCTCACTCGCGGATGCTGGCCGAGTAGGAGAACTGGGGGAAGTGCGTGCGCTGGTCCAGCTCCAGCGAGCCGAGACTGTCATCTGCGGAGGGAGTGCAGTGGGCAGGCTGGGCAGATGCCCCCAACCCCACAGTCTGGATCCCCCCCACCACTCCCCCTCTGCCCTGTCTCCCCACCCATACAACTGCGGGGAGAGATTTTCTGAAGCCCACCTCATGCCACATAAGACCCTACTAGGGGTCCCCAAGAAACCAGCTCCGGAAAGCCCCAACCAAATCCTCCTGTTCTGACCCTGACCCCTATAGTGGCCTGTGGGCCCTGTCCATGGCCATGTGATGCTTCCACGCTGGCCTTTCCCTATGCTCTTCCTTCTGCTTAGCTGCCACATCTCCTCCAGGAAGCCCCCCCGACCTACAGTTCAGTCAGGCATTTCCGGGCTTCCCTGACTCTAGACACCTCCAATAGTCCAGCTGACCACTAAGTAGTCACCTCATGCGACCGGGCAGGGCCCAGGGTGGTGTCTCTGCACAGCCTGTGCTCAGCAGGCATGTGAGAGCTGAAGTCACCACAATGAACTGCCACAGGGCAGCTGGGGGGCAGGTCCAAAGGGGTTGCCTTCTCACAGACATGCCTAAGGATGAGCTGGAGCATGGGGGGAGGGGGAGCTCTGTGTGCTACCTCCTTAAGTCCAGGGTTGGAGCAGCCCCCCAGCCCCCCAGCCCTCCAGTGGGGCCCCCATACTCACAGCGGTCCGGGGGGGTGATTGTGATGGACTGGGCGGTGAACTCGTCATCAAAGTACCTGGTGTCCACCTCAGAGGTGACCTGAGGCTTGAAAGGTGGCAGGAGCTGCGGGGAGAGAAGGGGGGTGGGCACCCGAGCTCGAAGGCCAGGGGCAGGAGGGGACAAGTGCTCACCTTCTTCTGGACCACGTCCTGCCAGTTGACACTGAGGAAGAACCTGTGCTCCATCACCTCCTTGGCGTCACTGGGGCCCCCACCAAGCCTGGGTAGAGACGGCCTTCAGCACTTGCCCTGGGGCAGCTGCGGGCTCTGGGGGGCCCTCAGCCAGTCTGTCCCGCCTCAGCCACCATTTCACAGGCTGGAGCAGAGCAAGCGCTTGGGGAGAGCCCCAACCCGAAAAGGAAACCAGGGTGGGCTTGCTGAGGGTCACTCCACACCGCCTGATTCAGCCGCCCTCCACCAGGCACTCAAGTGCCCCCAGAGAACAAGGCCGGGCAGGGCCACGAACAGGCTCCCGAGGGTCAGGGGTGCGGTGGGACAGGGGTGCCACCGAGGGCCAGCTCTCACCTCTGCTTGGGGTCCTTCTTTAGCAGCCCGGCCAGCAGGGACTTGGCATCGGGGCTGAGTGTGCGGGGGAAGCGGATGTCCTCCATAAGGATGAGCTCGAAGAGGCGCTCGTGGTCCTGGTTGTAGAAGGGCAGGCGGCCACACAGCATCTCGTACATGACCACGCCCAGACCCCACCAGTCCACTGCCCGGCCGTAGTCATTGTCCTCCAGCACCTGCACCGGGAGGGGCGGTGAGCCAGGCACCCGAGGCCCCCCCAGGAGCCGAGGGCCCGAGGGGGGACATGGGTCTGAGGGGCCTCCTCCCCGGGCCTCCAGCCGCAGACACCTCAGGGGCCAGGTACTCGGGGGTCCCACAGAAGGTCTTCATGGTGGCCCCGTCGCTGATGCCCTCCTTGCACAGCCCAAAGTCCGTGATCTTGATGTGCCCGTCCTTGTCCAGCATGAGGTTCTCCAGCTGCAGGACAGGCCCGTGGATGAGAGACATGCTCCCAGGGCTTCCATAGACCCCCGTCCTATGGTGCCAGCCCTGCCCATGGCAGGGCTGTGGTCTGCAGTGCAAGCTGGCACATCAGGGGCTTCGGGCTGGGCTCCGCACTGGGCCCAGTCCACCCCCTGGCACCTGTCCCAGACAGGCTGGAAGTGAGGTTGGTAGGGAGAGACGGCAGCCAGGCTGCATCCCGGCCCCTGGGCCACACTTCCTACTCCTCAATGTGAGGGGCACAGTCGTGTCTTCCTATTTTTCTTCCTATTTTGTTTTTCTTTCCTGGTGTTGGGGAACCACAGGGGCCTCACATAGGCATGACACATGCTCTTCACGGAGCCACATCTCAGGCCTGAGACTTTTCTTAAATTGTGAAATACATACCAGAAAAAAAAAGAGAAATAAGTGGGTCACTTTTTTATGGTCACCAAACCATGGTAGAGCAAGAAGGGCGCTTGTCTTGCACATGGCTGACCTGGGCTTGATCCCTGCCACCATATATGGTCCCCTGAGCTAGCCAGGATTGACCCGAGTGCAGAGTCAGGAGTAAGTCCTGAGCACTACTGTGTGTGGCCCCAAAACAAAAGAAAAAAGAAAAAACTATTTTTGTGGATCTTTCATAACCTCCCAATAGAGAAGCTGCCTTCCTCCCCCACTGTCTTCAGTTTTCACACAGCTATGGACACAGGTTCTCCCATCTGTGCTGTGGGGCTGGACCATACCTGGCAGTGCTCAGGGAACACTGGGCAGGGCTTGGGGACCGTGATGTGATGCCAGGGATACAAACCAGGTTGGCTCGCTGCATGCAAGGCCAGCGCTACCCCCTGATGTAGCTCTGCCCACTGTATGAGCCCGGCAGTGGACAGTACACATTTGGGCTACTTCAGTGTGAAGCACATGCACCTGTTTGGGGGAACTGCTCCACAGAGCATGTGAGTAGAGCAGAACAGGAGCCCACAAGGGCAAGGATGCTCAGGACCATTGACTCTCATAAGGCTTGGCGAGGCCCCAGCTCAGGGATGTGGTCCCAAGGAGAGGGCAGAGTCCCCTGGTGGCTGGCCAGGAGCCAGCATGACACAGATGGCCAGGGCCCATGCTCACCTTGATGTCCCGATATACCACGTCTCGCGAGTGCAGGTACTCCAGGGCTGAGACAATCTCAGCGCCGTAGAAGCGAGCGCGCTCCTCCGTGAACACACGCTCCCGGGACAAGTGGAAAAACAGCTGCGGGAGAAGAGGGAATGCCCTACCCTGTGCCACCTGCTCCAGGACCCAGCATGGGACAGGGAGAGCACCCAAACGAGGGACAGGAGATGAGCTCGGGTAAGTGAGCAGAGGAATGAGCAAGGCAGCACCTAAGGGAGAGCAGGACAGGGCGAGCAGGGTTGGTTGAAACAGGAAGTGGCAAGACAGGAAGGTCAATCAGTGCGACAAAGGCTGGAAAAGAGGTGGCCACAGCCTGGACTGGGCAGAATGTGACACTCCACGTAGACAGAGGAATTGGGTCCCCCTGGGGCCAGGAACACTGTGCACGTGCAGGCAGTGAGAGCCAGGTGGGGACAGAAGCCACACTGTCGCCCTAGCCCCGGTGGCTGTTTCTCTACATCTGGCCTCCACACCAGCTCATGGCTCTTCAGCTATCCCCTCTTCCTTACGTAGCACAACCCTCTGCGGCCCAGCTGGTTAGCCCACAGCCCTGGGTGGATCCTACCTACCTACGTGTGCAAACTAAGACAAGCCACTTCCCCTGAGCCTCAGTTTCCCCAGATAAAGATGGGAGATGACAACACCCATCTCTGCCTGCGTCTGGATCGCCCACAGCTCATCCCTACAGGGGGTGTGTGTGTGTGTCACTAACGGACAGCTCACCTCGCCACCATTGGCGTACTCCATCACGAAGCACAGACGGTCGTGGGTCTGGAAGGCGTACTTCAGCGCCTGGGGGAGCAAAGGCAGCAGGGCAGAAGGTGGGGAAAGGCCGGGCGCTCAGCTGAACCCCAGGAAGTGGTCCACTGGGATTCTGCCATGCACTCCCTCGGGCTGTGCGCCCCACACCTCAGCCTCAGTCCTTTGGGAGTGGGAGGAGGGCAGGGAACCATCTTTTGCCATCTTTTGCGAGAGGCACAACCAGGTCGAGGTCATGCTCTAGACATCGCCCCTCTCCCTCCTGCGCCTGAAGGGGGAAGTGGGAGCTGACCCCAGAGACAGATGGTGGACAGGCAGTCAACTGACAACACTGACTATGCTCAAAGGGAGCCACAGTGAGCCCCACACAGGACCCTGGGTGACGCCTCTGGGCATGCATCACCCCTTCCGCCTCTCTGCTGAGACACCCTATGGAGACTGGGCAGTAACTGAGCTGGAAAAAATCCACAGGTAAACTCTCCTCGATGGGTCCGGCAGCCACAAGCTTCACAGGAGCCTGAGCTCTGGCAGCGCTGTGTCCCTAGGTCAACTCCCACGGGCAGGGGCATGCTCCTGTCCTTCCCGAGGGGCCTGTCAGCGCTGCTGTCAGAGTTGCAGCCCCCACCACCTATGTGTCACTGTGGCTGGATTGACCTCAAGCCCGTCCAGGGCTGTCTGCGGCCCCCACAGCAGACGGGGAGACACTCACGGTGAGGAATGGGTGCCTGGTGTTCTGGAGCACTCGGCTCTCCGTGACTGTGTGGGCGACTTCATCCTGCACACAGAGGGCGGGTGGGGGAACGCTGTGAGCCCTGAGCAGCCCCCAGCCTGGAGATGAGGTCACTAGGTGCCCTCAGAAAGGATGGCAGGAGCCGAGAACCTGCCCTGAGATAACAGCAAGTCCAGGCAGAGCCTTGCTGCCTGCTGGGCCCCGGGACCCCTTAGATAGGGCCGCACAGCACTGAGCTGGGGGTTGGGCAGCAGGAGGCGCATGCAGGCTCACCTTGGCAATGATCACCTCCTTCCGCAGGATCTTCATGGCATAGTAGCGGCCGGTGGCCTTCTCCCGCACCAGGATGACTTTGCCAAAGGTGCCCTTGCCCAGGAGCTTGAGATAGTCGAAGTCATTCATGGTCTGCCAGGGAGGGAGAGCGGGGCAGTCAGGGGTCTGGCCCACAGCCCGGGAGGGCCTTCTCACAAAGAAAAGGGGAAATCAAAGGCCTCTGCTGGCAGACAGGAGCGGGGCGAGGCGCCGAGCAGCGGCTGCGTGTCCTCGAGGGGCCCCTGGACTGGGACTCCCCCACCCCCAGGGCACAGAGCGGTCCTGGGGCAGCGGAAATGCCCCGCTGGGCTGCATACCTAGGGCAAGGCCAGCGTGGGGGGGGGGGGTGCTCCACTGGCAGCTCCTGCGCCCCCGGCACTCACCACCTTGGCCCGCGCCTTGCTCACGGCCACCTCCATTTCCTCAGCTGCTGAAGAGTCGCTAGGGGAGCCACACTTATAGTCCATAGGGTCCTCCCCAGGGCTCCGCTGCTTAAGGCTGTTGGCAACCATCTGGATGGCCCGCATCCACTCCTCCCTGCGGACACACACGGAAGTCTGAGTCAGGCCAGAAAGGGAAGCACCCTTGACCCTCCAGGTATTTTGGTGAAATCAAAAGCGGGGGCCTTCTCCGAGGGGAGTGGAGGGACAGAGCCATCCTGGGAAGGTGAGAGAGACATGAATTCACTCCACACGGCCCCCAGGAACACACCGCCTCACAGGCATGGGCGAGGAGGACGCTGAACACCCCATACTCCCTCCAGGGTATCAGACAAGTCTGAGTCTGCGGGTGACACACACAGATAAAGAGAAAACCAGGAGCAGGCCAGCGAGGGTGCTCTAGGCTCAGTGCTCCGGCTCCATCCCCATATCACAAGGGCCCTGGGCACTGCCAGAAGCGACCCCTGCAGAACACAGGAGGCTGGCTGGGCCCTGAGCACCACTGAGCCACCCCCTCATCCCCCAATGAAAAGAGCAACATGCTGGTTCTGTTCCTGCAGGGTTTTTTTGATACCTGCCTACTGTGCTATCTGCAGAGCGTGAAAAACCTATGCAGGAATAGTGTCCAGACAGCAGAATAACATTCAAAACACACGATCTCCATACCCCACTTGAGACCCACCACATCTTAAGCCGCAGAAGCCTTCCCACAAGCTCCCTTTTTTTTTTTTCTTTTTGAGTCACACCCGGCGATGCACAGGGGTTGCTCCTGGCTCTGCACTCAGGAATTACTCCTGGCGGTGCTGGGGGACCATATGGGATGCTGGGAATTGAACCCGGGTGGCAAACGCCCTGCCCGCTGTGCTATCACACCAGCCCCACGACCTCCCTTCTAACAGCCAGGCGAGCAGTGGGAAAGGCAGTGTGCACTGAGGGCGAGAGCCATCAGGCCCAAGAGGCAGCTCTGGAGTCCAGGACTTGCTGTGCACATGCTGACCAGGGCTCCCCACAGTCAGGAGTGACCTCTGGAAGTGGTCCAAATCCACATCCCCCTGTTCTAGCCCCCACAAAAGACTGAGAAAATTCAAAAAGCACAGGCAAACACCCTCCCCAAATACAGCAGACGAGCAGACGTGCCAGAAGACCAGAGGCAGGTTACTGCCACCATGGCACGCCAGGAAGGTACCAAGGTCCCTGGCTGGGGCTACACTGGGGCCTGCACATGGCCAGGGCAGGGACTTCCAAGCCTGAGCCTGGGCACCCAGGTGGCCACGCCGCTGCGTCTGCTTCCCTCGGCCCCAGCTCCCATCTCTGGTCCCGGTGGCAGCTCTCAGTAGGTGGTGGTCCCAACCCCTGGCACTACCCGGAAGCAGGTGTGCCTTTACACACAGGCTCGGGCCAAAGCAGGGACTGCATGCTGGCACGCCCAAGCAACTCAGGGAGGACCCTCCTGACCCTGGGAGGGGGAGAGGGAGGCAGGGCAAGGAAGAGTCTGCTCCACCTCGCCCCCCCACACCCCTCCCCAGAGCCATCAGCCCCTCCCCACCAGTATTAAAGGGGTCTGGGGATGGAGTGGGGGAGCCAAGATACCCACTAAAACACAAGGCCAAGGAAAGCATAGGATTTGCCTTGGGCCCTGTGGAGTGAGGCTGGGGCAGTCCATACAACCCCCCTCCCACCCTGTGGGCAGCTCAGGCAGGTGCGTGAGGCGGGCAAAGAGCAACAGTGCCCGCTGGTGCTGCCCGTGCCCTGGGGGAGTCGCCCCCCCACCCTATGTCTGTTCATCCCCGGAAGGGAAGGAGTTCACAGGCCCTGTTGGATACTAGGAGGAGAGCACAGCTGTGCGGGTGTCCCCCAAATCCCAATGCCTTGGGCCAGCATTTCCCAACAGGGCTGAACTCTGGCCTCCTTGGAACAAGCACAGCACAGGTTTCAGGGCTGTGCCAAGGGGGGAGGGGCCCACACTCCACAGTATACTGCATCAGCCCGCAACAGACTCTTACGGTGATCGGTGATCTTTGGGTTTGGGGGCACACCTTGGGTGCCAGGCGCTACTCCAAACTTGGGGCTGCTGCGGGTTGCGCTCGGGTACCACGCTGTGCCGAGGAGCCCACAAGCACGCAAAGTTCATGCTCAGCCCACTGGGCTGTCCCCAGGCCCCTGCAAGGGCTTAAAATGCTGACTTAGGATGTGAGGCCACAGGTTAAAAAATTGAGGGGGAAATAAAAAAAAGAACTGATGTCCCAAGGGAGCCGTCAAGTTTGTGACGAAGAGAAAGTGGTCGGTCCTGAAGCACATGCGTACTGGGGTAAGGCTCGGGGCTTCTCTGCCAGCACATGTCCGAAGGGGAGAGAGCAGACGAGTAAGTCAGTAGCCACTGGAACAGAAGCGTGGGGACAGCCGCACCGGGATCCAGAGCCTGGCCTCTGACGTCAACAAAGACAACGGGGCACGCAAGTCCTCTCCACTTTGGGCAGGCTGCAGGACAGACAAGCCCCTCTGCCTGCTACCCGGGGCCCGCCCAGCCAGCGGCTGACAAGTCCCAGTCCAGTTCCAACTGGACTGAGGTGGCAAGGTTGCAGCACTCAGGATTCCGGAGGAAAAGCAAGGGCCTGTGTCCAGGATGCTCCTTGGAGTGTTTGCAACATGATGTCTGGGGCAGAGGGGAGCCCTCAGTCTGGAGCGAGCAGCTTCCCACCTCTCCAAGAGCCCCCGGAGGTCACAACCTTCTTCCCCTTCTTCTCAGTCTAGTGTGGTCGCCTCAGGCTCTCTGTGGTGAGAGGGGTACTGCCAATGGGGAAACTGAGGCAGGCCTGTTCCCCCGCCTTCCCTCCCCCCAGTCCAGAGAAGCCATGGTGACTGCTTCCCATGGGAAGGCTCTGGCTGGGCTCAGGACACCACAGGCTGGTGGCCCGGGAGAGGGGAGGAAATCAGCCCCCCAGAACTGGTCCTGGGCTCCCCCAGAGGCTCCCTTATGCTGCAGCAGGGCTGTGAGGACAATCATGACTCTGCTCGTCTACACCAGGTGAGGCCAAAGCGCAGAGAGACGGGCTCCGGAAAGCCCTGTCCCCACCAGACGTGTCACAGACCTCCCCTTCACAGGGGCACAGGGCCGAGGAGTCACCCACCACATTCTTCTTCATGGGTGCAGAGCACAGCACAGACACAGTCTGTGGGGGGCCCCAAGCAGCCTCTGTCATGACAGCAGGGCAGCACGCAGGGGGGAAGGTGATAGAGGGATGAGGGTGAAAGGAGACGCCAACGGCCAGTGCTCCTGGGCAGCTGCTGGCGGAGTGCCCAGGGGGTGGTGGCAGGAAATGCAGGTGGAGTTTCTGCGTTCCAGGCCTCACTCTGGGCATGAGGCGGGCAGGAGCAGGGGAAAACCCTGGAGCCCCCTTAGCCATGACGGAAACCAAAGTAAAGGCAGGGAGAAGGCAGCCTGGAAAGTGTCAGAAGGCCAGGAATCCAGGTTGCTGAGCCAGTGAAGGCCATGGGCAAGAGGGGGCCCTGAGCCGCCTATGGGCACAGCAGCTGCCGGGAGCAAAGAGGAGGGGCGCAGTGAGTACAGGCCTGACCCCTCAGGCCCACGTGTCACCACATCAGGGATCCGAGTCTTCATCCTTTACCTCACAAGAAGTGGTTGGAAGGTTCAATGTGGGGGACAGGATCCGGTTACTGACTTAAGTCCAGCTGCTATGGGGAGGAGGCGCGAGAGAAACAGTACTGACAGGCGCAGGTGCATGGGCAGCGCCTCATGGGGTCCCTCCTTTGCTCCCCACAACGGGATCAAGTGTGCTGGGAGGGACGCTGAGCCAAGTATCCCCAGCCCAGCACTCACTGAGAGCGGTGGGCCCTTCCCTAACCTAAGCCTCCAAGCTAAGAGGGTGTTTGCAACTGGAGGACACCCGCGGTGATGGCCCAGCCCCTTTAGACATACCCCTTCTGTTCTCTCCCCTTGGTCTGGACAGGCGAGGACGAAGAGTTGACCCAGGGAGCCTGAGGACGGAGGGGGGGCGGGGACGAGTTACCAGCTACCTGAGCCCCTATTTATGCCCCTGCCATGCAGGAGCAGGAACTGCTACCCTGGTAGACAGGCAACACGAATGAAAACAAAGCAGGGTAAGAAGTCACGCAAGATCTACACAGACCAGTCACGAAGCAGCCAGAGGAAAACAAGCCCACGCTGTTAGGTTCGCTGAGAGCGAGGCACACTACGGGGTGCAGCTGCCGCAGGAGCACGCACGTGAACCCGCCCAGGCACACCGCCCTGCTGTGGGGCAGCCAGACCCCGCCCGCCCCAGCGCCTAGGTGTCCATGCTCTCAGGGCCATACACTAACAAACCCAAGGGGCCTTTGTGCAGACCCAGCCTGCCTGCCTGCCCTGCTCCAGACCTGCACGCCAGTTTCCCAAAAACCCCGAGGAACCAAGCGACCAGCACCGAAGGCAGCATGGAACATTTCACAAGTCAATCAGCCCGGCCTATCAGCGGCCGCCAGGGGATGGCAACAGGCTGAAGTGCACAATGCAGCCCGTGGGGCTCCCGAGCAACCTCCGCACTTGAGACAGTGACCCCAGGGACTGGGAGGCCAAAGTCTTCACTATTTTTTGGAAGGGCCCACTAAAGACTAAAGATTTTCAAGGGGAAAATGTTACAGACAACAAATGAGATGCAAGTTGAAACAGCCAGACGAGGCAAAACATGGCCCTGCTGACATGCTGAACGCAGGTGCAGGATACCTGGACCCTCACAGACACACGGATCTGCCCCTCTCTGACTATGAGCCTGACATGCTTGGCAGGTGTGTGGGGGGGAGGTGGTGGGGAGGAGCAGGGAGAGGAGGACAGACGAGGTTTGAGCCTAGCGAGCAGGCCACATTCCGTCTCTGAAGGCATCAGCAGCACGGCATGGCTCATGCGGGGCATGGTGGGGAGGGCAGCCCTGGGCACTGCCCTTGTGGGCAGGAATCTGAGGGGTGGTCTGACATGGGGAAGTTAAAAAGGGCTGTCTGGCACCCTAGTCTTAACGGATGCTTCTTCCCCATACCCAAGGGAAAGCAGGAGTCTCAGGGTATCTGTCAGCTCCCCGTTATCTGAAGGGCTTCCTGAGACCACCCTGCACCCAAGGCCTCTTCCAAGCCCCCGGGTGCTGAGTCTCTGGGACAGAAGCCAGAGACGGGAGGCTGCCTCACCTCCAAACCCTGGCACCTGCGCTTCGTGTCCCCAGCCCGCCCCACCCCACCTCTCCTGGCCAGTTTCTGCCCAGTCCTCAGAGGCACCTGTAGTGTCCATATGCTTTCTCAGAAAGGCCGTGGATGCTGAGGCCACCTCAGATGGTAGCTCTGTTCCCTTGGAGGGCCTGCCACAGTCTGCGTCGGGGAGTCTGAGCCTGGCAGTGAGGCCTGTCTATGCTTCCAGAGCACTAGCCTCTGGGAATGAGAATGTGGAACTTCCAGCCTGGCACCCGTGACTACTGCTGCTCTCGAGGGCACTGGACACACAGCATTACCATCGTGGCTGAGAGTTCTCCAGGACAATTTTAGGGGTGTTTGGATAGTAGGTCCTCCCTTAGACGGGCTAATGGAGTGTTTATCAAAGTGAAGTTCTAAGGAAAAAATCATTTGCTTAAATTCATTACAAAGAGTTAAAGTTCCCGAAAATATAAAGAGCATTCAAGGGCCAGAGAACAGCACAGCAGGGAGGGGATTTGCCTTACACACAGCTGACCTGGGTTCAATCCCTAGCCCCGCCTGTGGTACCCTGCAGTCTGCCAGGAGTGATCTCTGAGCAAAGAGCCAGGATTAAGCCCTGAGCAGCACTGGGTGTGCCTCCTCATATTGGAAAAAAAAAAAAATGAGTTATCTTTACAAAGCAGTGAAGATTCTTCCAGGGGTCAGAGCAATAGTCCAGCCGGGAGGGCATTTGCCTTGCATACAGCTGGTCCAGGTCTGATTCTTCAGCACCCATATGATCTCCCAAGCACCAGGAGTGATTCCTGATGTGCAAAGCCAGGAGTAACCTCTGACCACTGCCAGGTGTGACCCCAAAACAAAAACAAAACATTCTTCCAGATACATCAAAAAGAAAAGTTCAAAACGGTTCCTATACAATAAGCTTTCGTGCTAGAATCAGGCACGGACATAGAGGTGTCTCGTGCAAGCGTGTCTGTGTGTGCGGGAGCATTTCAGGGACCCCGAGACTAGCACTGAGCTTGGGTGGGAGTGGGGGCAGAAGTGAGGAGAGCTTTCATGGGCATTGCTGTCTCCTGTCTAAGTAAACACTCAAGATTTCTTAATTTTATTAGACCAATCTTTTAAAGATATAATCTCTATGAACCAGGAGCAGCCCCTAAGCATACCAGGTGTGGCCCCCTCCAAAATAAATCTGAAACGCAGCCCACTGCCATCTGTAGACAGGACAGCCACACTGAAGCCAGCCCGACAAGTCTGCTCACAGCTGCAGCCAAGACCCCCTCAAAACCTCTCATCGGCAGACGCGAAGTCCGCTCTCCCGGGCCTGGCCGAGCAGAGGTGCAGAAGCGCTGCCCTGGTCCCAAGGCAGCCGCACGGACCCAGACTCACCTCTCGTCTGGAGAGTCTACGTGGAAGGTCCTCTCGATGACCGTGGTCCACTGCAGGCAGCGGATGACAAAGGTGTTGGGCCGTGGCCTCTCGGTCTTCATCAGCTGGCATTCTGCAGGCAGAGGAGGAGAGCTGAGAGCACGAGGAGACAGCCCCGAGTCACCAACTGTGGTCACTCCTGTGCCAGGCAGCACTGGGAACACCTGAGTGACCGGGATAGGCCTGGTCTTGCCTCCCACAGGGGTTCAAGGCCCAGAGTGTGAGTGGAAAGGAGACCGTGGCCAACCCAGCCTAAGATCAGGAGGGGCTTCCTGGAGGAGGGAGCATCTCTGCACTGCACCCTAAGGGCAAAGGGAACCTGTCTGTCCAAAGGGAGGGGAAAGACGGACCCCAGTGACCTGGGAATAGCAAATGCTTTGTTCCCACTAGTGGGGGAGGTGTGAGGAGAGAGGTGAGGAGTCAACTGGAGGGGGCCATGATGAGAAGTCAAGAGCATGGAAGGCTTTAAGTAGGGGAAGGATGGGGAAGATTTAAAGACACCCCACCCCCACAGGGCTGCAGTGAAGAGAATGAGCAAGAATGGAGGCTAGAATCAGGGGAAGCTGGGGAGGCAGAGGCCGGTCAGCCCCAGGGAGGAAGTTGGATATGGAAGGCCAGGCCCGACGTCTAGCCTATGGCCAAGGAGGCAGCAGGGTCCCCCCACAAGATGGGATTTGGGAGAAGGGCTGGGGGGGAGGGGGTGCTCTCAACCACGAGTTAAACAGAGTGGGCATGACAGAGAGACACTACAGGGCAAGGGAGAGCTGGGTCTCTGCACACAAGGCCACGGAGACATCAGAACCAGGCTGGGGAAGAAGCAGCCAGGAGCTGGGTGCTGAGGAATGCAGTGGAGATGGGGAGGGGTGGAGCATCCTTACAATATTCTTAGGAGGTAGGACAAAGGCCTGGAGATAATCGGGTCAACGGAGTCAGAGCAAGGCAGAGGTGGAGCCTAAGGCAGCAAGGAGGAGGCAAGGGCTTGGAGCCCACCAAGCTTTCAGTGGCTGGGGGCCTGCGGGAAGTACCTGGGTACCACAGGGGAGTCAGGGGATATGAGGATCGCCTGTGATTGGCCGAGTGGGAGTCAAAGTTGCCTCCTGGTTAGAGGACAGAGGCTCAGACTGCTGCTGTGGCAGGTGGAGGGGACAATGCTCTGGGTGTTCCTGGGTGGATGGAGGGGGCAATGCTCTGGGTGCTCCCTTCTCCCAGTCTGCACCTGACACCAGGCCAGCAGCCGTGGAGACAGGCAGGCAGAGGGAGGGCCATACCCCTGGAGGAGGGGCCCCGACTGGCCAGCCATGCTGAACCCATGACCTGTGGCCCACCCACCTGGAGACGCACCTGCAACGGAGAAGTTGTTTAGGGGGGGTAAGGTCTGGTCAGGGGCCTCCGGCCGCTCCTTATAGCCAATGAAGGAGCCGTCACTCTTCAGCAGGAAGTACCGGGGCCTCCAAGTCTTGATGTATTCACCTGAGCCGGGTGAGGAGGGGACAGAGGTCAGGGCATGGTCTGGCCACGCCCCAAGGGACAGGCTCCCAGGGGCATCTTGGTGAGAGGGTGGGCGAGGGGGCAGGCAAGAGGAGCCTCTCAAGAGCAGGCCTGGAGGCGGCCGGTGCTGACGCAGGCTCGGTGCTGGGCCAGGCCCGAGTGATCCAGAGGTCATGCCTGGCAGGAAGGCGCCGGCCACAGTGCCCCAGGGCACCAGCTGCCTCAGCACGAGGCCAGCAGCAAGTCACCGCTGCCAGCACGGGGCCCAGGCCCAGGGGAGGCCCAGGCTTTCAAATCCACATGGCCTACGGTCCTGGCAGGCCCAATCCCGCGGGCTGGAATTTGCCAGTACAGTGGTGCCAGGTGGGGTGTACTGTCGCTGTGCCCTCTGAGTGCCCCTTGCCTCTATGTTTGCTCTGTGAAGGTCTCTGCACCCAGTGTCCACACACACTCCCAGGACCCACACCTCAGTTTGCTGCTAAGAACAGAGCACAGACATACAAAAACGGAATGCCAAGCAACCCCATTTTGAGGTATCAATTTTATTCTGGGGGGGCCACACCAAGCAGTGCTCTGAGGCTGAGGGGGGACTCCTGAAGGTGCTGGGGAGGGAACCTGTGAAGCCCCATGCTCTAGCCCTCTGAGCCAGCTCCTGAGCCCAGCAGAGCTACTGCCTACCCTAGAGTCTATTTTTGAGTCACACCTGGAGGTGCTCAGGGCTGACCCCCAGATTTGTGATCAGCTCGGGGATCACTCTTGGTGACCGTGCGCAGTTCCGAGGATCAAACCAGGATCAGACGCCTGCAAGGCAAGTGCCTTAACCTCTGAACTATTTCTCTGGCCTCAGCAACCCTACTCTTTAAGGGTAAGAAGCAGAAACAACCCAATATTCATCTGTTCATGAATGGATAAAACCAAATGTGGCAGACCCATAGAGGAACACTGGACCCATAGAGAAAACAAGCATACAATCTGCTTCTATGGATGAACTAGAAGTTAGGCTGAGTGTGGGGAAAATGACTGAAAGGGCTGTAAATCCTGTTATGTCCTTTATCTTCATGTTCAGAACCGGCAAACCTAAAGTTCAAAAGGAGACCACTGGAGCCATGAGTGGGAAAAAGAGGGAAGTCTGGGGGATGTGCTGGGGGGGAGGGGGAGAGATGGCCGAGGGAAAGCTGGGTTCTTCTGCTTGGGTGGGGGCACAGGTTGCTGAGCCACAGCCCTGGCTCAGGGCAGGCTCCTCCTCTGGGCAGGAAACCTCAAGGTGACTGTAGTGATGAGACGCAACCTGCCTACACCGAAAGCCACTGAGTTACTCTCTTTTACTTTGGGAGTGGGGCCTTCCCCGCAGCGCTGGGGGTCCAGAGTCCACAACCAGCAATATTCAGCCTGGCCACAAAGGCACCATGTGCCCGGGGTCAGCAGGGCTGGGCCAGTGCTCAGAGGGACATTTGGGGCAGGGATTGAGTCAGGGCCACGTGCACAGCAGGCAGGCTGGCTACCTCTTGGCGCCAACTCTAGGGACCTCAACTAGACACGGGGAATGGCTAAAGCACACAACACATGCACTGTCTCTCAGCCACCCAACACCCACGGCCAGGGTACACACCGGAGCCCTGCTCAGCAAAGGCCGCCGCCAACAGCCTCCTGCGAGCAGGACTGCAGTGCAGGCTCTGAGGTCACCAGCACGCACTTCCCTTCCCGGGCCTCGTTTCCTTCTCTGGGGCCATCCATCAACCTCGTGCGGTGAAGCAGCTGAGGAGGAAGAGGACCAGGGGCTTAAGTAGACTTCGTGCAGCCCATGTCTGAAGTATCCTCTCCACTGACAGGCCAGGAGCGTAGCTCAGCAGCAGAGGGCCAGCCGGGCACATGGAGGGCCCCGGGTTAATTCCAGGTATCCCCGAACACTCAGGAATGTAACTTTAAGCGATTCTATGTATGTCAGTTCAAATCCAACAGGATCCAAAAGATCACTCACCATGACCAAATGGGTTTGGTTTTAATCCCAGAAATATAAACACGGTTCACTATATGAGATAGGTGTATAATCCATCAGATTAAGAAAATGAAGAAAAATCTTTCGTCATCCACTCAACTGAAAACATGCACCTGACAACATGCAACACCCTTTCTTTTTCGGTTTTGTTTTGGCCATACCCAGCAGTGCTCAGGGGTCACTGTGCTTAGGATTCACTCCCAGCAGTGTATGGGCACCATATGGGGATTGAACTCAGGTCAGTTATGTGCAAGGCAAAACACCCTCCCCACTGCACTCTGGACCCAGTGCAACACCCTTTCATGATACAAATATCAGTAAGCTAGGAATAGAAGGGAATTTCCTCCACATGCGTCTATGAGAAACCCACAGCAAACATCGCCCTCAGATGAGGAACAAGGCAGAGGCCTGCTTTCGGAGGCCCTGTTACACATTGTCCTGACGCTTCCAGCCAGAGAAATGGATTAGAGGCATTCAGCCCAAAGAGCAAAAGCTCTCTGCACGTATGATTCTACCTAGAAAAACACCAAAGAGCCACCAGGTTATCATGAGAGCAGTGCTTCTAAACCAAGCGCCTTATGTTTCCCTGTGGGCCCCAGAACCATCCTTGGGGGCCCCAGGTGAAAGTCATGGAAACAGGAACCAGGGCACTATACTAGGGGCCAATCACTGGGGCAGCAGGGCCAGGGGAAGGAAACCAGACCAGAAGTGGGCCACAATCAGAAAAATGGTTGAGAAACACTGTATAAGAGCTAATAAGGTAAAATCAACACACAAAAATGTTGTCTGTCTCTCATTCTTGTCTTCTTGGTTTGTGGGCTGTACACAGTTTGTGGTGCTCAGAGTTAATCCTGGTCTTGTGCTCAGGAGTGACCCCTAGACCCAGGTCAGTCCCATGCAAGCAAGTGCCCTACCTCCTGTTCTATTACTCCAGCCCTGAAAAATATTGTATTTCTATAGACCAGCAATAACAAAATTAAAAACAAAAAAAAGATTCCACTTACAATAAGGAAGTGAGAGACTCATTAAAGGCAACAAAATATTATTTTAAAAAAATTAGGGAGTTAAATAAATACAAAGACTTTCATGATGGGTTTGAAAATCCAATGTTGTTAGCGTGGCAATACTACCCAGAAGTCATTTTGAGATCAACCCACTCCCAGGTCCAATTCCAGTGTCTTTACTGCAGATATGGAGAAGCTGATCCTTAAACTGAATGATACTGAAATTGGCAGGGCTCCCAAACAGCCCAAACAACAATAAAAAGAAAATAAAAAAGGCTAGAGCAATAGTATAGCGGGTAGGGCGCTTGCCTTGCATGTGTCTGACCTGGGTTCGATCCCAGCACCCCTGTCCCCTGAGCACCACTCCCAGAATAAAAAGGAATAAAATAGAGCTGGGAATAGCTCAGTGGTGGAACACTTATCTTGCTTATTATGTGAGGCACTGGGTCCGATCACTGACATAACAAGGTTGAAAAAAAAAAAGAGATGCCTCACTTCCCATTTCAAAACTGACTACAAAGCTACCACAACCGACTCACTGAGGTGGGAGGAGAGACATTTAGACCAAAGGGCAAGAACTGAGTCAGGACCGGGGAGGGCGCTTGCCTTGCACACAGTGCACCCAGGTTAGGTCTCTGGCATCCCAGATGCCTTCCAAACCCACCAGGAGTGATCCCTGAGCACAGAGTCAGAAATAAGCCCTGAGTTATCACTGGGTGTGGCCCCAAAACCAAAAAATTAAAATTAAAAAAGAACTGAGAATCTAAACACAAATTTCTAACTCTATGGTCAACTGAGTTTCCACAGGGGTACTAGACCTTCCTAGGGAGAAAGAACAGTCTCTGCTGTAAACCGTGGGGCAAATGAATATCCAGATTAAAAAAGAGCTGGACACCCCACCTCAGCCTCCACACAGAAATTAACTCAAATTCAGGGTCAAACTATAATGTAGCAGGCAGGGTGTTTGCCTTGCAAACCAACCCAGGTTCAATCCCCAGCACTTCATATAATCCCCTGGGTCCCATCAGGTCCCAGAGATCACACCCCAATCAGCCGTGTTCAAGGCAAGTGCCCTACACACTGTACTATCGCTCTGGCTCCAACAGGGTTTTCTTTAATGAAAACATTCAGGAACTAGACAAAGCTGGTGGTTACACAGACTGTGATGCACTAAAGGTCATTCATTTCGTATTGAGCTTATTTCACTCTAATTTTAACAACCAAAACAAGACTAGAAAACTCATCGATCTCAGTAAGGGGAGCAGCGGCTGCCTGAGAGGGGGCAGTGAGAATGAACTTGCTCTCTACACCTTGATCTGAACACAGTTCTGGGGTGAATTGAAGACTCAAGTATACCCGAGTTGTCTTTACATTGGTAACATACAGGGAGGGAAAAAAATAAAGCAACTCAGGCAGAAAGAACATTTCACATCAACTCCATCTGATAGACTCAAAGGTTCCTTTACTCGTGCAGGCTCAGAGCTGCCCACCTCAGTCAGCACTGGTACTGGGGCCTTGTGAGTGACTGACCCCCACCTGTCATGATCTCCCTTCCTGTCTCCTGGTGCAGACTGTGCTGCACCCAGGAAGCATGTGGGCCAGGCCCAGAGAGCACTGTTCCAGAGTCCAAGCCCCCAAGCTGCCAAGAAACTCAGGCACATCATGCTTTTTGCCAAGCAAGACACAGGAAGTGAGCCGGTCAATTGCAGAGCTCATGCTGGCACAGAGTGGGCACTCTGCAAACCTGGCTTCTATTCTTTCAACTGCCAACAGTGGGGTGCAACAACACAGGAGCCAGCACAACTGCAGTCAGCAGGGTCCCTGACCCGGAAGGCCCAGGAAAGTGAATGCACTCAGGTATCGAAAGTGCTAACTCAAAAGCAGGTGTGTCTAGATCGACGTAAAGCCACCAGGAAGGGTCGGATCAATAGTACTGGGGGTAGGGAATTTTCCTTGTATGTGGCCAACCTGGGTTCGATCCCCAGCAACCTATATGGTCCCCCAGCACTGTCAGGAGTGATTCCTGAGTGCAGAGCCAGGAGTGACCCCTGGGCATCGCTGAGTGTGCCCCCATCCCCCCCCCCCCCAAAAAAAACAACAACCAAGAACAAAGCCACCAGAATCACTGGACAGACTTCCACCTGAAACTGTTCTTCAGATCCCTCCAGGGTTACCTGCACCCCCATCACCAGTGAGTCCCAGAACAGTCCAGGAGCTCAGGCACAACTTACAGACAGCATCCCCTACCACACACACAAAACCCCAACTATGCACTCGGCAGTCAGCCGAGCACTCGGGCAACACTGCCCTGAGCACGCTGAGTAAATCCCTGCCCTCAAAGGGCGGGCCATAGGCTGTGAACCTATTCTGCATGAAACCAAGGCTCAGAGAGATGTCAAAGCCTGTCCAAAATCATACCGAAAGCAAGTGGCAGAGCCAGGATAAGAACTTTTATGTTTATTAAGGCTAAAAATTCCCTGCCAAAACTTCCAAATTCTGGGGCTAGAGCAACAGTACAGTGGGTAAGGCGCTCACCTGACATGTGTCCAACCTGGGTTCGATCCCTAGCATCTCACAGGGTTCCCCAAGCACCATCAGGAGTAATTTCTGAGTGCAGAGCCAGGAGTAACCCCTGAGCATCAGTGGGTGTGGTCCAAAAACAAACAAAAAAGGCTGGAAACAGAACCAAAGCGACAGTACAGCAGGTACAGCACTTTCTTGCACATGGCCAACCTGGGCTCAATCCCCATCACCATGATTCTCCAAACCCACCGGGAGGGACCCCTGAGCAAAGAGCCAAGAGTACGCTCTCAGCACAGCCAGATGTGACCTCCAAACAAAAGACTGAAAACAACCAATGCTGGAAGGGATGGGGAAAAAGGGAACCTCATTCGGTATTTGTGGGAACGTTATCTACATTAGCCTTTATGGAAAACCGTATGGAGACTACTCAAAAGCAGGAATAGAATTCCCATATGAATGCCAAGAAGTGGAGCTTCCCAGAGATTAGCATCTATTCCTCTAACACTCAAAAATAGTAAAATAAAAAGGCATGTGCACACCTAGGGCCAGTGAGACAGTGTAACAGGTAGGGCACTTGCCTCCCATGTAACTGAGGGAGGAAGGAGGGAGGGAGTTAAGGAGGGAGGGAGGGAGGGTGGGGGGAGGGGAGGGGAGGGGAGGGGAGGGGAAGGGAAGGGAAGGGGAGGGAAGGGGAGGGGAGGGGAGGGAAGGGAAAGGAAGGGAAGGGAAGGAGAGGGGAGGGGAGGGGAGGGGAGGGGAGGGGAGGGGAGGGAAGGGAAGGGAAGGGAAGGGGAGGGGAGGGGAGGGGAGGGGAGGGGAGGGGAGGGGAGGGGAGGGGAGGGGAGGGGAGGGGAGGGAAGGAGTATGTTCACTGCAGTGCCAGTACAGTGAGACATGAAAACAAAGAAACTATGGTATTCATATACACTATGCCATACTATGTTCTGTAAGGAAAGATGAACTCATTACGCTGTGACAAGGACGGAACTGGAGCGCATCTTGTTAAGCAAAGTCAGAGGAAGGAGGGGAAATACCAGGTCTTACTTGTTTTTGGGATAAGGAGAGAGAGAACAAGGGAATATACAGGACCAAACAATGACAAACCCTTGACCTTGTACTGCAAATTGATTACCAAGCCCTGGGGGGAGAGATGAAGGGGGCCTAAGGGCGGAACCAGAAAAGACACAAGGGCAGTGATGGGGGCGTCAACGGACGCAGGAGTTTTTATATCAGTACCATAGACTTTCACATTAGGGTAACTGTTTCACCTAAACTATCACAAAAATATACATAAACCCAGCACACTAAATGTCTCATTTCTCCAGGCTCCAAACATCTACCAGCACAGCCAGCTCAGGTCACATTCTGGCACACAGTACCCTGAGCACCAACAGTCTGGGGAGTCAAATCCCGGGTCCGCTCTGGGGCCCAACACAGCTGCCCAGCTGTTCCCAACACACAGGCCAATCCACTGCTCCAGAAGCACCCCCGCCCCCTTCACCCAAAACAGCTTCCTGTGCCCTGTCCCCAACCTTCCCCTTGCCACTCCATTCTTTTCTCTCGGGTAGGTCCTCTCTCAAAGGGAGCAGGGGCCAGGAGCTGCCCACAGTACATCTCAGTGTGAGGGCCAGGGTTCGGTGCTGTGCGGGGCCTTGGGACGGGGGGGACCTACAGGACCACCCCAGCAGTGCTCAGGTGCGGGTCAGGCTTGCATGCGCCCCCCACATTCCTCCCCATCACAGTACCACTCACCACCTCATTCCGTGTCTGCTGACTTGTTTCCTATGTATCCCCATGTCCAGCACAGCGGGTAGGGCGTTTGCCTTACACGCGGCCAACATGGCCGACCCGAGTTCGATTCCTCCACCCCTCTCGGAGAGCCCGGCAAGCTACCGAGAGTATTCGATATGCCAGACACAGTAACAACAAAGTCTCCAATGGAGACGTTACTGGGCCCGCTCGAGCAAATCGACGATCAACGGGAGGGCCTTTACCTTTTACCCCATGTCCCACTGGGAAAGTCACTCCATGAGGTGTGTCATCCCACACAACTCACACCCGGCATAATTTGCTCTAAGAACTAGTATTCAATATGGCTTTGCCATGCGCCTCTCCCTCTAAGCCTCAGTTCCTACAGCCCTAAAATGGGGCTCTCGGGGCCAAGGAGACACTCACGAAGTGAGACACAGGCCCCAAGTCTCAGCACCCCAGCACCCACCTCCCCCTCCCCAGCACCACAGCACCCCTTGGTATAGCCCTGTGAGCCCTTAAGCCAAGCCCACGCCAGCCCCTCTGCGTGTGGCCCCCATTTTCAGTAGCAAAGGAGGCCTGCGGGAGAATGCTGCACCGTGGCAGAACAGAGCCTGGTGCCTGGTGAGGCTGGAGACTCAAGCCTCCCGCCCCAGGTGCCCACAAAAGGGCCTGGAGCTCCAAGAAGAGCCAGCCCAGGCAGGCGGGCCCCGCTCCTGGGATGGTAAGGACCCTGCCCGTCGGCCTCTCAGGGCACCTCTGCCAGGAATGGGCGCCGTGGGGGAAGGGGAGCCTGGGACAGGAGGCCACGGCCCTTACCGCGCTTATGGAGCCAACCTTCTTTGATGACGGACACCTCATTCATGGTGGCAGCAGGACGCACTGTCACCTTGCTCGGCACAGCTCAGGGCAGCAGGACATGCAGGAGGCGTGGTAGACAGATCAGTGTCTGCAAGAGAAGGGCAGAGCAGGTCAAAGGGGGCCTCACTGCAGGCACCAGCGGTAGGCTCCTCTGTGACCTGTGTCCCGACAAACCCAGCCTCGGTGCGGGCAAGGCCTGACCCACCCCTCAGAGTCCTACCCTGGAGGAGCAGGGCTTCCTGGCCTGTACAGGCCACTCATGCGGAAGAGAGCCCCCCAACCTACCTTCACTCCCGATGGGGCTCCACCCCCCATGTCACTGCCATGCCCCAACCTGAGGTAACCTGGGATGAATCAGACAGCCCAGAGCACCCGAGGGAGAGCGCCCACAACCAGCATCTCTCACATGCGCACAGCACTTGGCGCTAACCTCACACACTCCACCGTCCACGCTGCTCTCACGGGCCACTTTCCTGCCCGCTCTCTCTCACAGACCCCCTCCCGTCCTCTCACCCGCCCCCCCCCCCCCCCGCACACACATCACACACAACACACTTACACACACACCCTCACTCTCACTCACACACTCACTCCAGCTCTGGGAACTCGGAAGCCTCCCACCTGGCCCACAGCAACACGGGCAGCCGCCCCCGGTACCTCCTCACAGCCGCGCTAGATCACGAGCACGCAGCGACCTCCCGCAGCCGCACCGGCCAGGGGCTTGAAGCGTCCTGCCCGAGCCCGGGCCTCAGGCCTCAGTGCGCAGGGGCCGGCAGCCGGCAGACTGACAGACGCCGGGCCCGCTGCTCGGCTCAGGTTCCCGGGCAGGCGGAGGGCGGGCAGGAGGGCGGGAGGCGGCCGCCCGCTGGGCTCTACCTGCAGCCACAGGCCTGGCCAGGGGCCAGGGAGTCCCAGGCGCCTCGCGCCTCTCCCGGCCTGAGGTTATTTGCGGACAGCAGGTCAGGAGCTAGGGTGGCCCCCAGAGGAGCGGCAGCTGGCTCCAGGGGCACCGTGGGCATCAGCTTTCTCTCGTGCCCCAGGGGAGCTGGGAGGCTGGGCGCACTCCCGCCTGGCATGTGACGGTGGCACGCTGCCCGGGCTGGGCAGAGAGAAGGGAGGTAAGTGGGAGGAAGCAGGAGCAGAGACAAGATGGAAAGTGACGGGGAAGTAAACAGCAGGGTGAGAAATCACGTTCTGGACTCCGAGCGGCAAAGGCGGGGCCTGAGTAGCAGTGGGGCTCCCTCCCCCGCAGGCGGCCCCACGGGAAGGCTGATCTCAGCCCCAGGGCTGTCCTCCCCACCACAGACCCCCGACCTGTCCCTCTCAGCAGTGATGACCCTTAAACGTGGCCAGTGGCCTCCCATCTGCCTCGGGCAGAGCCAAACTCCTCAGCTTCCTATATAAGACCTTCATGAGGGGCCCCTCCTGCACCCGCCACGCCACCCTGCAGCTTCCTCCAATGCCTCTCTAGCCCCCAACCCTGACCTCCTGGGCTCTCACCCCCGTATTCTGTCTAACCTGGGCTTTTCCTCCCCATTCAGACTTCCCAGGGCACCCAGCCACCCTGCCCAGAGACACCTGAAGCATTCAGCAAAGGCTAATGCTCGCGCCCCTGGAAACGTTCGCACCTGGCACTGCCCGCCTCCCACGCCCCTTCTCCACCAGGCCCCTGTCACTCAGGCCTCCCTCTCTTCGTTCCGTGCCTTCTCCCCCTCCTGGGACCTCAGCGGAGCCAATGCCACCGCCCAGAAACTCTCCCGACCGCAGAGGCCACACAGGGTACACTGTGCTCCTCCTCAGCCTGTTCTCGCACGCCTGGAGCCCGCACAGCACCTGGGTGTCTACCGGAGAACACAGGGAACAAGCCCACAGATCCCAGGACCAGACAGCGCCGCAGAAACGCCTCGGGGCTCTCCGCACGCCTCCCAGCTGCTCTGAGAGGTGCCACGCTCCGAACACGCATCGGGCAGACAAAGAGCCGCAGGCCTTTTCGAAGCTCCTGCTCCAGCGAGACACGCCGACAACACGCAAATACGAGTAAGGCTAGAGATGCAGAGGCACTGGGTAGGCAAACCACGTGGGGAAAGGAGATGGAAAGGGGGAGCCGCGCCAGCCACGCCGGAAGGGAGGAGCATGCCAGGCAGACGCGCTGGGCACTTGGCAGCATGAGGGCACGTGCGCAGCCCCGGGGGCAGCAAGGAGCTCGGACAGTGCAGCCACTGGGATGAGGGAGAAAACCGAGGGCTCAGGCCTGCCTGTCCATGGTGGGCAGGGAGGAATTCCTCCCCAAGTCGGCCCAACGCCACCCCTCACGCCGCCACTGGTACCAGCTTGGTGCCCACTAGTCCAGGGCTGGGATGGAAACTCGGGAGTCCAGAGGCTGCGAAGAAAAGGACTGGGGCCTGGTGTCCAATCTGAACTCTCCCTCCCCAATGGCCCAGGGACCTGGCCTCTCAGGGCTCTAACGACTTCACAACACAAGGTCTGGGCCTGGGGCCCCGTAAATGGCCACCCGTGTGGCTGCCCGGGTCAGAGAGGGCAGCACAGGGCTGTGAACCCTTGCCAGCTGGGTGGTCTTGAGCAGGGTGCCGGAGCACCCAGAGTCACCTCTGAACTCCTCACAAGGGTGCTGTCGGGCAGGAGTGGGGCCAGCGGGGGGGTGAGGGGGTGACAAGGGGGCGGGGGGAGCATTTACCTTGGTCTCCTGGCAGAGGCTTGCCGCGGAGGCCCCGCCCCCAGAGCCACCTCTCACATTCTCACTCCAAGGCTCAGGCGCCAGCCACAGTGAAGGGGGAGGAACTGCTAGGTTCCCTGTGTCCCGCCTGGCTCCCGCGCGCCTATCCTCCCACTGAGGGTGGCGCCTCGGCTGAGGTGTCTGTGACGCAGGGTGCAGTGATGAAACGCCAGCCCCGCGGCCAAGAGGACGGCCTGCTCGCTGGGGGACGCCCAGGCGGGAGGACCGAGCGCTGTCTCCGGAAGCCAGGTGAGAGCACGCAGGGGCCTGCCCCGGCTGCAGGGAGCACAGCCCTGGGTCTTCCTTTGCCTGCTACTTCCTTGTCACGGCCGGGACCAGAGTCTGGCGAGAGCCACAGATGTGAATGGCACGGAGAGGCGAGCCACCTGGGAGGCAAGGTTAAAAGAGCAAGGGCACCCACGCTCCTGAGAACACACAATCTCATTAGTTCCAGGGAAAGGGCAGATTAAAACCACCCACCGGCCACGGCTCAAGTCTTTCAACGGCCAATGCCAAGTGTTGACAAGGACATGAAAGAACTGCTACTGGTGGGAATACGAACTGGTGTGGCAGCGATGGGAAATTATCTGGCGAAAGGAAGACTCGAGGAGGCCCCACTGTGGCCCCGCAACCTGCACCTCCCAGGCAGAAATGTTTACTCAGTGTTCTCCACAGCAGTGCTCCTCAAGACCCCGGGCCTGTAAACAGACCAGGGATCCATCCCTGGGAGAACAGATAAGCCCACCAGGGTCACTTCCTCCAGCAGAGCCCCAGAGCCCTGCCCTGCAGCGGCAGGACACAGTGGGCACAAAGCGACACCAGTCAACATGGCACTTGCTGTTGAGGGCAGGGCTACTCTGCTCCCAAAGATTCGAAGCTGGCAGAGCAGTGACACTGGGCAGGACAGGAGGCAGTGCCTGCTGGGATTTCATAGGGCCCTGCTTTACAGTCACAAGGTACACTGCACTGCACAGAATGAACTTAGAATGATGCTATTCTGTGTTTTACGACAAACATAGGAACTATTTTAAAAAGCACCTGAGGGGGCTGGAGAAAAAGAACTGAGGTTAAGGCACTTGCCTTGCATGTGGCCGGACCTGATTCAATCCCCAAGCACTGCCAGGAATACGCACTGAGCCATGCCGGGCAAGTCTCTAAGACAAATGAGGCATGTACTCCTGAGAGTCAATATACGGGTGAGCTGGAAATGGGACTCCTGGCTCCCAGGCTCCCCCCCTGACTGGCCCCTCAAGAAGGGGAGGCCACCAATGACCGAAGAACCCAGGGGCTGAAGAATCCAAATCCCAACCCAGGCACTGCAGCTCTTGGGCCACGAGGCCGCAGGCCAGTGCTCCCGGTTCATTCCCATCCGTGCTGGGATCCTGCTGAGGACAGCCGCAGCCCAGAAGCGAGCAGGCAGCACACTTCGAGCCCCCAGGCCTGGAGGCTGCCCTGCTGCTCTAGAGTTTGGGGGTCCACTTAACTCCACAGAGGGGAGCTAAGTGGGAACAAAAATCAGAGCAGCTTGCTGTGAGCAAGGTGGGGAGCAAGGTGGGCACTGGGAGAGGAACTCCTGAGGGTGGGCTGTCCTTGCGAGGCTTTGCTAGGGTGAAGGGCCCACTCCTGACTGCGCTGTGTGTGTGGGGGGGGGTCCCCCAGGGATTCCAAATGCTTTACCTGAGCTCCAGCCCTTCTGAGTCATCTCCAAAGGTTCCTGCTATGCTCTGGTGTGGGAGCCACATGCTGAGGTGCTCAGGAGTGGCCCCTGGTGGTGCTGCGGGCCCACATGTAGTGCAGGGGATTAAACCAGGGTGGGTAGAATGCAAGGCAAGTGCTTTTGCCCCGATACTATCTCTCTGGCCCTGGCCTGAGCTCTCTGGCCCTGATTCTAATGACCGAACACATGGAGCAGCACTGACTTATCGTTCTAGCAAACTCTCCACAGGTTATTTTAAATGCCCTATGATTATTCCCTCTGACTTGGGGGTCTATATTCCATAACGGACTCCTCTCTCCTCACAGTGCTGGGGTCAGGGCCCTGGGCATCCAGTTCCTATAGACCCCACTGGTCAGCACTCTGGAAAGGAGCTGGGCCTACGAAAGGAGCTTCCGCTGGTTCCTCGGCTGCAGGGCTGGGGTCATGGCAGAGCTCTAGTACCTGTCCCATCACCCATGTTCCACTGAGGGCCCTGTGACCAGGGAGGCAGCACCCTCCTCAGATCAAACCCTCCCCAGGCCCCAAAGTTATTACAGAAGACCCAGGGGAGGAGAGAGAGTACAGGAGTGAGGTGTGTGCCTTACATGCCACTGGCCCCCTATTGGTTCCCTGAGCACTGCCTGGAGTGACCCATGCC